AAATCTCTTGGGCTGGAGTGATAATGGTGAAAGATAAGTTTGGAAAGGCAGATAATGTCTAGTTTCAGAAGTCCTTGAGTGCCTATGAAGAAAGTTAGACTTGGTCTTGAAATCAGAACTCCTGAAAAGTACTTGATACCTCAAGGGGTATGAGGAAAGCAGAGGGGAAATGTGTACAAAGAGGTTATTCTGTGACAACAGTGGAGGAAAGAGAAAATAAGGAAGATACCTGGAAGACTTTTGAAGTAACTCAGCACAAGGGGAGGGGACCCCAGGTAAAGGCAATAACCTTAGAGGAATAAAGAAACAGACAAGAAAAACATTGCTTAAAGAATATTTCAAGGGAACTTTCATGACTTCAGAATTAGATTGAGCTGACATTACTGCTGTTATTCATTTTTTACTCTGCTACAGTATCCAAATTACCAAATGAAAAATTCTATAAAATGGCTATCATTTTCCATAGACATCTATATATTTTTTGTTTTTGTTACACTGAATATGCAATTCATGACATAATTTCCCTCACCAGGACAGCTGAAGTGTGGTAGAAAGAACACTCAATTTGCATTAGGTATTAGAAGCTCAGCCATAGTACCTGGCATCTATACAACATGAGTGAGTCATTTAATGTCTCTGAGACCCTGTTTTAACTTAGAAAGCAGATTGTAAGCCATGAGCTCCTATGCAGATAATGTGGAGCCTATAGTGCCTTCAAGAAAAGTTTTTGCTGTCAATCTATAGATTGACTGTACTCTTATTATTATAAGATTAAATTTATTTCTAAAATGAATCTAATCATTTCAAATTCTAAAAAGTCTTGAAATTCCTGTACCAACAAATACTAATGTTTTAATGACCATGCTGTGGTTTAAAAAAAAGTAGAAAGTAAATATTACTTGCATTTTAAATATAATTTTCTCCCTCTTTCTAAGTCACATTTTTAAAAAGGTAAAATTGATTCATTTCGGTTTAGGGATTTTTCCAACCTTTGTCTTTTTCTTTGGGAACAGAAAAATTTGTGTTAACATCAAGCCTACTTTCAAAATTCCAAGGTTTCCTGATTCTGAGAGATTCCTTCAAGTCTATCAGATAAATGCTACAGAACTTTACATTTGGCATTCCTTGTTCAGGTCTGTCTGGAGCCAAGAAGAGATGTCTTAAATGTATAGTCAAGATGAATTTTGATATATCGATCAAGATGAAAGTATTGGCTTATGGTTTTTGACAGTCCTCATATTTTGTAATACTTTATTTATTACTATGTATATGGGTGGGAAAACCCAAGAGGCTATAAATGCATGCATATGTGCAATTGATACCTCTAATTATCGACATGAATTATGCAAGTGTGGTTTTCTAATTATGTGTGATCAGAAAATTATAGGTACATAACTAAATTGTCAAGTAGCATTACAACAATCTCTCTGTACACACACACACACACACACACACACACATGAAAATCACACCCCTAATAAAAGTATCTAATTTGTATTAAATAAAATATTGGAAACTTTTTCATACAGCAGAGTCCCCAACGGGCGTAGATTAAAAAGAAGTTTGAAAACTAGTTAACTCTCACAGTATGCATAGCAATAGTGGACCCCTGCCAGCAAAGGGCTTTATCACAGTATAAATGGGGTTTTAAGTGTTTGTTTCCAGGGCAGGTTCTTGCAGCTCAGGCACTTCCCAGTCTCATTGTCCTTTGTTCTAGCGGATGTACAAAGGATTGACTGTTTTGTTTTCTGGCTCAGAGAGATTAGATAAAGTCTGCATTTCTGAACTTCACCCTCTAGGCACGCAACCTTAAAATTTATTTGTTATAGCTCTTATTTTACAGAATATATACATATATATATATATTTAATATTATAGTAGTCACTATATCATCATCTTTAATCTTTATCTCACTTGATAGTAGATATAGATGACAGGATTGATAGCTTCTGAATTACCACTAGAAGCATCTGCCCCTCTCATCCTTGTCCTTAAAATGCCACTTCAGCAAAAATGCACCATCTTTGTTGGGTGTGATCATATTGTTCTTGGGATTCGCTGCCTATTAAAATCACATGGTATTAAATGTGATTCACTGTTTTTGACAGACAAGAAAACTTTCTGGGTGGAAAACTTATCTTATTTCCTTTTATTATAACATCCTTCATTATAGGCTATTATCTAGGGTTGAAATTTTAAATAATATAGCCCTCCCTCCAAAACTAGTTTTTTTTCCAAGAACCTATAAATAAGAATCATCTTGAGAATTTTTAAATTTAGGTTAGAGTTTGAAGGTTAGTTCTAAGATTTTATCAAGGTTTTTTTTTTTTTATGGAGGAGTCAATTAAGCTATTATTTTCAAAATTCTTTGTTCAATTTTTACCTCCATTTTGTCAGTGATTCAGAGAAGAATATATTTTTATGGTCAGTAGACAGATATAAGCTCATATTATTGAATGCCCTTTGCATGACTGGTAAAAATCTCCTCTATATTTTGTTAATTCTCAAAATTCCCATGGAACATAGGTGTTGTGGTTGTCATTGGTGTTGGTGTTGGTGTTGTTATTACTGTTCTCACCAGGCATATGGAAAAGGGAAACTTAGATAGGTTAAGTAACTTGCTCAAAGTCTCTTCACTGGTAAGTGATGGTGCCAAGATTTGATTGTAGTTCTGTCTGGCTTCAAAGCCCAAGCCCGTGCTTTCCAGCACTACATGTCACTGCTTCTGATTGTAGGAATAATAATATGATATCACAGTTGCCAGATACTGTTCTAAGAGCTTTTTATATAATATTGTATTTAATCTTCCTACCAGTTCCATGAAAAAGATAGAACTATTTTCAGCCTTGCAAATAGATGAAGAAACAGAGGCCTAGGGAGATTAACCAGTTGCCCAAAGTACAGAGCTACAAAATAGGAGAATCAGATTCAAGTTCAGGTCACCATACTTTAGAACCCAGTCTTCAGGTGAAACCATCAACTGGTGTGAACCACGAAACTTTGTCTTCCAAGCTCACCTGGACTTTGGGCTGTCTTAGTAACTAGGTTGGCTTGCCCACTAATGTTCATATTATTGTTCATTATTGATATTACAAAGTGCAATGTGGCATATTTAATTTTTGCAATGTGATGTGCTTATACATAAAACATTAAAGTCATTTGATTTCATAGGTTGTACTAAGCCTAAGGTGTCTATTGCTCACTAATTGATTGTCATATGAACTGTTGGTTTCTAAGTGCTTTTTGAATATGGAGTAAAGTTGCCTTATTTATTTTGGCACTTCCATCAATCAAAAGTGAACATCTTCCTAAAACACACTTTTCTAATAAGGTCTAGAATTCCAGTTGTTATGTTGTGAGCAAAGTATAGTCTAAAAGGAAGTCCGTAAGGAAAGAGATCTCTATAACTGTGCCACTAAAGCATCTGACCTGACCCTTGAAAATTGTTCTCTAATATCCTGATCCCATTTTCTAGACCAAGAACGAAGTAGGATTTCTGAAAATGTCTTATATATAGATGTCTCTCAGTGGTTCTCTAGGTATTCAGAATAGGGACATCCTTATTTCTAAGATTCTATTCCTCACTGTACCAGAAGAATGATTGCTCACATTGACCTAGTTCCTAACCCAGAGCTGCCCTTTCCATCCCATTTCATGTTCAGTGGTGAAAATTCAACATAGGCAAAACATACCCCTCAAATTACCCATGGCTTTGAGAGTTGAAATGAAAACCTGGGTGCAAAACTTCTCTATTCTCTTCTGCTCTGGGGGCAATTTTAACATGAGCCAGAACTAAGGTTGTAAAAATCTAGGAATAATAATGAATGTTTGAAGAATCCATTCTAGTGAGCAAAGAAACCTGCCTTAGGGTCATGGTCATATCTGTATCTTTTGTGGTTGTCGATTAAAAACCACCCAAAGTTATATATAGATTGCACCAATCATCCATGACCTAGGAAAGGGAACAGTAAAAATTTCAAATTATGTGTTTGATTTATTTATTGTAAGTAACAAAATTATTTTTCAATTTATTTATTTATTATAAATGTTATGATTAATTACACAAATCAATGGGTTTCACTCTGACTTTTCCATACATTCATATATTATGCTTTAATCACATCCACCCTCCTTACTATTCTCACTTGCCCTCCCCTTTCTCCCCTTCCACTTAGTCCTCTTCCCCTTCCCTAAGAGTCCCTCTTCTACTTTCAGGTCATCTTTTCTTTTCTTTCTTTCTTTCTTTTTTTTAAGTTTCCATATATGAGAGAGAAAAAAAATGCAATACTTGTCTCTCTGTGTCTGGCTTTTTTCATTTAATATGGGGGCCTCCATTTTCCTGCAAATGGTATAATTTCATTCTTCTTTATAGCTAAATAATATTCCACTGTGTATATACCATATTTGCTTTATCCATTCATCTGTTGTTGGGCATCTTGGCTGTTTCCATAACTTGTCTGTTGTGAATAGTGCTGTAATAAACATGGCTGTGCATATATCTCTTTTGTATGATGATTTTATTCCCATCATGTACATACCCAGGAGTGGTATAGCTGGATCATACGGTAGCTCTATTATTTTAGTTCTTTGAGGAGTGCCCATAATGGTTTTCCGTAGTCACTATAGTAATTTACATTCCCGCCAATAATATCTACATTTTCTATTCGGATCTTTAGTATGGGTATTTGTCAATATTTGAAAAGGTTGCTAAGTCTGAAAACCAAAGAAAATATAATCTTGCTTAAACTTTCAAAATCAGAGCTACCTTAACAAAAGAGTTTTTTGGAAAAAGAAATTTACATGACTGATAACTCAGTAAGGTGTTTTTTTTTTTTGAAAATGAAATGATAGATTTGAAAGTGAAGCAAAATGACAACGTGTTTTGCAGGCAGAAGATTATTTAATATTTTTAATGAAGATGAATCTGGATTGCAGCAATATAAGCAGTTATTTGAGGAAATCTTCAAGCTGTGTTCTCTTTCTTGGTGTTTGTCCTGCAGATCCTTTACCACCTGCTAGGTTTGGAGTCAGTAAAGAGAAGACTACTTCAACCAGCCTGCATGTTTGGTGGACTCCATCTCCTGGAAAAGTCACCTGGTATGAGGTGCAGTTATTAGATGATAATAACCAAAAGATGCAAGGTGTCCAAATTCAAGGAAGTACATCACGGAATGAACACACATTTTTAAACCTCACTGCTGGTAATTATTATAATGTTGCCATCACAGCTGTCTCTGGAGAGAAACGTTCCTCTACAGTTTATACCAATGGGTCAACAGGTAAGACCTGTATTGTCCATAGTTCATAGTCTATGATGCATTTGAGGTTATAAGTTATTCAAGGAATGGGAATGAGAATGCTCTTCAGATCATAAATAAATTAACTAACTAGCCCTTTGAAAGGAGGTAGTGTGATATAGTGGAAAGACCAGACTGAATATAGGATGTGTGACTTTGATGCTGGCTTATTGGGAAAACTTGAATAAGTGATGAAACTTCTCTGATTTGGATTTATTCTCTAGTTTAAAATGGAGATGCTCCCTTCTACCTCCTCCAATTCAAACTCCAGGCAACAGGATTTTCTGCCTTATTTTCTGTTTGTGCCATAAAACTTGTTTTATAAATGTTTTTCTCCTTTGTGTATTCTTCTTAAATAACATCAAGTCATGATGTGTTCTACATGTTCCTATGTCTGAAACAAATCTTTGCTTCCATGATGTGGGGAGAAATAAGACATGGAGTGTACCCACATGGTGTCCACAGCTGTTTATCACCTTCCAGAAAGTACATGTCTTTCATACCATCCACTCTTCCCTCATTCATTCTCTCTTGTTTTATCTCCCTCTCTTTCCACTTTTCATCTCCTCTGCTTCTTTCCTTTGTCTCTTCCACTTACTGCTATGCCATGTTGTACTTCATTGGCAAAAACTACCTTGATACCTATTAAATAGGTGAGATAGACAAGTTCACCTATGATGTAGCTTTGGGCTGTAGACTTTGAAGAGCATTAATCAAGGTCCCATGAATTCCAGAGTGCTATTATTTATTATTGCTGTTATACAAGTTAAGATATACCCAAAGCATTAGTGAATATGTGATTTCTTATTAAATGTGTCTATGTCTTCTCTAAGGGCATTATGAATGACATTTTGGACATGCGTTTTGTCCCACTAGTGCCATCTCCAGTGAAAGATATTGGTATTTCATCAAAAACTAATTCTCTCCTGATTTCCTGGTCCCATGGTTCTGGAAATGTGGAACAATACAGGCTGATGCTAATGGATAAAGGGATCCTAGTCCATGACAGTATTGTGGACAAACTCGATACCTCCTATACTTTTCATGGGCTGATACCTGGCCACATCTACAACCTCACTATTGTGACTATGGCTGCAGGACTGAAGAACTACAGGTGGAAATTAGTCAGGACAGGTAAGTACCCCTTCCCTAGCTGAACAAGAATAAAGGTCACATCAAGTTTTAATCAAGTTTATTAAGTTATTTGAATAACAATGGTATAGGAAAAATTGAAATTCCTGTAAGTTATAAAAAGACCTTCATATATATCTACTTTTCTATGTAGAAAAATGAAGGAGTAGCTTTTATTCTAATGTTGAGGGTTGTCCTTGGCAACATTTTGAAGGAAACAAAGCTGATACAGTCCCCGTTTTTCTTTTTAGTGCACCCATCTCCTCCCTAAGGATTCCTGCTTCTGTCTCTGAAGCAAGCACCTATGTCTTTGTGACATTACTCACACTGAAACAGGATTCCTTCTCTCAGTGTCACATATAGACCTACTTCCAAGTGAAAGTCACTTCCGAAATCCTTTATCCACAAATACCTGCCCTAGGACTCAACACCACAGGACATAGTTTCCCAGCTACTCTAGACTGATCAACTAATCTGTGCCAAGTATTAATAGTTCTTTCATTCACCCAACCAATATTTATTGATTGTAAACTGCTAGGCATCACTGATCATAATAACAGCTAAGACAGGCAATCGTTGCCCTGATGGAGCTCACATTCAAGTGCATGAAGTAAATTCAAATGCTTCTAGTGGATCTAATGTGTTAATAAATCCCACTTCTCCATCAATTGTCTAATTTTAAGATAAAAATCTAAAATTATTTAGTTACTTGGAAATTACTCCTATGAAGAAAGTTTCTGAAACTATAAGAAGTTGGTGGGAAAGATACTAGAGACACCTGTACATTTATATAGTTTTATAGCATATTTCAAAGATAAATAGACATTTTTGAAAAAAATACCATGTATCTTAAGAGTTACTTATGGAGATAAAAACAAATTGTACTTCTGCCCTTGCAAAGTCAGTATGCTATGCCCATTCTTTTTATTATTTTGTAACTTGTCTTAATTAGTTATACATAACAGTAGAATGCATTTATGCACTTTGATATATCATACATAGATGGGATATAATTTCATATTTTTTCTGAGTGTACATGTTAAAGAATCACATTGGTCATGGAGTCATAAAGTAATAATGTCTGTTTTGTTTTACTATCCTTCCTAGCCCCATATTCCCTCCTCTGCCCTCCTTTCACTTGTCTCTACCTAATCTAAGGTAACTCTATTCACCTCTAGTGTCCTGTGCCCCTTATTGTGAATTAGCATCTGGATATTAGAGAAAACATTTGGCCTTCAGTGTTTGGGGATTGACTTATTTTGCTTAGCATGATATTCTCCAACTCCATCCATTTGCTGGCAAATGCCATAATTTCATTCTTCTTTAAAACTGAGTAATATTCCATTAAATAAATATACCACATTTTCTTTATACATTAATCTATTGAAGGACACCTACGTTGGTTCCATAGTTTAGCTATTGTGAATTGAGCTGCTATAAACATTAACATGGCTGCATTACTACAGTATGCTGATTTTAAGTCCGTTGGGTGTAAACCAAGCTGTGGGATAGCTGGGTCAAATGGTGGTTCCATTCCAAGTTTTCTGAGGAATCTCCATACTGCTTCCCATAATGGTTGTACCAACATGCAGTCCCACCAGCAATGTATGAGTGTATCATTTTTCCCACATCCTTGTTAACATTTATTGTTGTCAATATTCTTGATGATTGCCATTCTGACTGGAGTGAGATGAAATATTAGTGTAGTTTTGATTTGCATTTCTCTAAATGCCAGAGATGTTAAACACTTTTTCATATATTTGTTGATTGGTTGTATTTCTTCTTCTGTGAAGTGTCTGTTCAGTTTCTTTTCCCATTTATTGATTGGGTTATTTGTTTTTTGGTGTTAAGGTTTTTTTGTTGTTGTTTTACTTTGCTTTCAGTTTATTTTATTTTATTTTGTTATATATATGACAGAAGAATGCATTATAATACATGTTACACATATAGAGTACTATTTTTCATATCTCTGGTTGTACACAAAGTGAGTCATACCATTCTTGTCTTCATACATGTATTTATGGTATATGTCCATCTCATTCCACCATCTTCCCTGCCTCATTACCCCTCCCTTCACCTCCTTCCCCCTTTCCCCTTTGCCTTATTTAGAGTTCATCTAATCCTCCCATGCCTCCCCCATGATGAATCAGCATCCTTAAATCAGAGAAAACATTTTGCCTTTGTTTTTCTTGGGATTGGCTTACTTCACTTAGCATTATATTCTCTAACTCTATCCATTTACCTGCAAATGCCATGATTTCATTCTCTTTTAATGCTGAATAATATTCCATTGTGTATATATACCACAATTTCTTTATCCATTCATCTACTGAAGGGCATCTAGGTTGGTTCCACAATTACCTGTTGTAAATTGTGCTGTTATAAACATTAATGTGGCTGTGTCTCTGTAGTATGCTGTTTTTAAGTCCTTTAGGTATAGACTGAGGAGTGGGATAGCTGGGTCAAATGGTGGTTCCATTCCAAATTTTCCAAGGATTCTCCGTACTGCTTTCCATATTGACTACACCAATTTGCAATATCACCAGCAATGTATCAGTGTGCATTTTCCCCCACATCCTAGCAAACACTTGTTGTTTGTGTTCTTAATAGCTGCCATTCTGACTAGAGTAAGATTAATGCTTTATCAGAGGCGCACCTGTTAAAGATTGTCTCCCAATCTGTAGGCTTTCTTCTCACATTATTGTTTTCTTTGCTGAGAAGAAGATTTTTAATTTGAGTTGGTTCCATTTATTGATCCTTGATTTTACTTCTTGTGCTTTAGGGGTCTTGTTAAGGAAATCATATCCTAGGTGAAGGATATGGTAAAGATTTGGGCCTACTTTCTCTTCTATTAGGTGCAGGGTCTCTATTCTAGTGCCTAAGTCTTTGATCCACTTTGAGTTGATTTTTGTGCAGGGTGAGAGATAGAGATTTTATTTCATTTTACTACATATGGATTTCCAGTTTTTCTAGCACCATTTGTTGAATAGTATACCCATTCTTAATGAAACCATATTATGCCATTAATGGGATCCAAAATTATGGCATGTGCAAGAGGTTAAAAAAAAATACAGCAATCCATGGATCAACCTGTTTATTAAGTACTGGATATTATTGATGAGAAGAAATTAATCAAACGATAGACCTCTATTGTTAATAGTGTTTCAGAAGACTGCATTAAAAAATTTCAGAGCTGGACAGAACTACTTTAGGACCAGGATTTATTTACCAGCAAGGAACACTAGATGCAGAGAGAGCTGTCCGGAATCCTGAGGAGAGCTGTCCGGAATCCTGAGGAGAGCTGGCCAAGTCCCAGCCAGAATGCAGCCTCCTGACTGCCAGGTTGTGCTCTTGCCATGAGGTTGCCTTCATTGGGTTTACAATATTATTTTTGTCTCTCAAAGCAATTGTTTTCTTCTGATCAAGGAGTATGCCTTGCAGGAATTAAAATATAGGTCAGAATTTAGCCACAGGAATGGTAAGATATCCTGAGTAAAATCTCTTTTCCATTCTTTGCTAATTAGCTCCCATGGAAGTCTCAAATTTGAAGGTGACAAATGATGGCAGTTTGACCTCTCTAAAAGTCAAATGGCAAAGACCTCTTGGAGATGTGAATTTCTACAACGTGACCCTGTCTCACCAAGGGACCATCAAGGAATACAAAGTATTAGCACCTCAGGTCATTGAAACTCACTTTAAAGACTTAGCCCCTGGACGACTTTATCAAGTTACCATCAGCTGTATTTCTGGTGAACTCTCTGCTCAGAAGATGGTAATGGGCAGAACAGGTGAGTCTTGGGCTCCAGAACTTCCTTTATTGCCCAAGTCCTCTTCTGATTCATCTTAGAATAAGAAAAAATAAGACAAAATTAAAAAGGATGGAAGCTCCTTCTCCTACCTAGGAAGTAGGAGCTACATGACTGGGAGTGTCTGTGGGCCAGGGTCCAACAGACAGAGTAAAGCAGAGGCTAACTGCATTTTTTGAGTAATTTAAGCAAATGTATTTGGATTCCTGAATGCTCTGCCTATTTTCACTGTTCTATGCTTTTTTCATGTCAATCACTTGAGTAACTTAAATACATTAACATTGATATCAGTAAAAAAAGACACTTCTGATCCATTCTTATAATGAGGATCACTTAGCACTTAAACATGTTTTCCATAAATTTAGTAATTTATGGCATGTATGCAGTGCTTTAACTATATTATTGTTAAAATGTTTGAGACATTTGCCTTTAAGGCAGAGTTCTGCAAACTATTCCCTGTGGTCAAGTCTGATTGATGGCTTGTTTTTGTCTTGCCCCAAGCTAATGAGTGGTTTTTATATATTTAGAGGATTGTAGAAACAAACAAAAACACCAAGAAAAATATGAGATACAGACCATATGTGACCTGCAAAGCCTGAAGTATTTACCATCTGGTCCAACCTTTGCTTAAAAGAGGCTGCATTTTAATCACACAGATGTAGAGTACACAGCTGGAAGGAGGAAGAGTAGCTGCAGGGAATTTTCAGTTAAGACAGGGGGGATATGAGTTCTGAACTTGAAGAGCCACAAATGCAAGTGAAGCACTTGACATTTTATTCTGTAATTTTTTTAAAGAAAACTTGAGTGTTTAGAAGCAAAGGAATAATATGATCAAAGGAATAATAATATTTCAAGAATATTATTCTTTTCATTTGGAAAAGAGGAACATTTCATGACCACAATATCCAGTATCTCTTCCAGAAGATGCCACATCTGTCAATGTCACCATCATTAGATGCAATGTCATTATTTTCTCTAGGGAAAGCATGTAATCAATAAAAAACGGCATTCATATCCCTCTATTGTTAATAGTGTTCCAGAAGACTGCATACCTGTTAATTTACTAAAATGGTTTTAGCATACATTTCTTGAGTGTCAGATGTTTCCAGAATGAGAAAGGAATACTCCCTTGTCCTCCATGGTCATCAAGAGGGGATAGCAGTCTTTTGAATTGCAAATATTGTATGTCCCATCTACTGTTACCCATGAAAGGCAAATGAATATTTTTACTTAGGTTTTTAACACCTTCTTTTTGACATTTTATTGTTTAGTTCCAGACAAAGTTAGGAACCTAGAGGCAAACAACAATGGTTGGATGAGGTCCCTCATGGTGAGCTGGTCGCCCCCTTCTGGAGACTGGGAGCAGTATCGTATCCTGCTCTTCAATGACTCTGTGGCACTGCTCAACACCACTGTGGGAAAGGAGGAAACACAGTATGTCATGGATGGTGTGGGGCTCATACCCGGAAGACAGTATGAGATAGAAGTCATCGTTGAGAGTGGAAATATGAAGAATTCTGAACGTTGCCAAGGCAGGACAGGTAAGCAAATATGAAGGTGTTCATGACTCATGGATATATCCTTTCCTTCCCAAGTAACCCAGGAAACTGCCAATGTCATATCCCAGTGTTCACTGAATTTGAGACTTAAATGGCTTGAGCATTTGGTCTTTCAAAACTGTGGGGTTAACACATGCTTCACTCCACCTAAATACTCATAGATTTTTCTTGATGGTTTTGTGGATGACAAGATTGTACTAAATATTTTTGTATCACAAAATACACAGGAAGAGATAAACTCTAATTGAGTTACCTAAGATCAAAAATAAATGATTCTGTAGGTGTTGTGCAACAATATTTTTTTGAATTTTTATTTCTGGTTATGTTACATGGCAGAGTTTTTGTGGTAAACCTTTTTTATTCTAAAGTGCTTAAGTATTCAGAATAGAAATGTTGAACCAGAACTTTTGAGGTTGGAAGAGAACAGTTCCTTAAAAAATACTCTGTGTGTGCATCTGAGCTAATCAATGACTCACCTCATCGTTACTTTTCCTCAGTTCCCCTGGCTGTCCTTCAGCTTCGGGTCAAACATGCTAACGAAACTTCACTGGGCATCATGTGGCAGACCCCCGCTGCAGAGTGGGAGAAATACATCATCTCTCTAGCCGACAGAGACCTCTTACTCATCCACAAGTCGCTCTCCAAAGATGCCAAAGAATTCATTTTTACTGATCTGGTACCTGGACGAAAATACACAGCTACGGTCACCAGTATTAGTGGAGACTTAAAAAATTCCTCTTCGATAAAAGGAAGAACAGGTAATAATCTTTATACATCTTAGATTTTACAATGTACTGTCTGATGAATTATTTAACATTCAATTTACAAATGTTCATTAAGTACCATGTTTTATGGATTTCTAATGTGTTTGCTGTTTTACCAAATTCAACTCTTATCTTCATTACTCCCTTCTTTCTATTTTGCTTGGGTTTATTTTTTGTTAAAATTGAAACAGAGTAGAGAATAACCCTCCGGTGGAATGCTTTTTAACAAAACAGAGCAAAGAAATAGGGCAGCACTGAGAAGAGAGTATGGTACACAGAAGTGTGTTAGATTTTCGTCACTGTGACAAAATACCTGAGAAAATCAACATAAATCTAGAAAGATTTATTTTTCAGTCCATTGTCATTTGGCTCCATTGCTCTGATCCTTTGGCAAGGCAGATTATTATGGCAAGAAGTACTCACCTCATGGCAGCCAGGAAGCAAAGAGAGAGGGCAAGAAAGGGGCCAGGGACAAGATATATCCTTCTAGGGCACTCTCCTTGTGACCTACTTCCTTGAACAAGGCCCTACTTCCTGTAGTTTCCACCACCTCCCAATAGTCCATTCAATTATGAATCCATCAATGGATTAATCTATTGATGAGCTCAGAGTCCCCATGATCCTATTACTTCCCCAAGACTCCACCCCTTACATATGTGTGTGTGTGTGTGTGTGTGTGTGTGTGATTAGCTATGCTGCCCAGGCTGGCCTTGAACTCCTGAGCTTAAGCAATCCTCCTGCCTCAGCTTCCTGAATAGCTGGGACTACAGGCCTGTGCCACCATGCCCAGCTACGCTGTCAAATTTTACATTCCCATCAGCAATGTATGAGCATTCCCGTTCCTCCACATCCTCAGCAGTACTAGGTTTGGTCACTTCATTTGTTTGTTTGTTTTAAAATTAAGCCATTCTAGTACGTCCTTGGTATCACATGTGGTTTTAATTTGCCCTTTCATAATTTCTAAGGGCTTTGTGAATCCTTTTGTATGCTTATTCACCTCTGTTTATCTTCTTTGGGAAAGTTTCAGTTCAAATGTTTTACCTGCTTTTCAATAGAAATTTTTTGCTTCCTTATCATTGAGGGTTTTTTTTAATATTATTTTTGTTAGTTGTTAATGGATCTTTATTTTATTCATTTTTTTATATATGGTGCTAAGAATCGAACCCAGTGCCTCACACATTCAAGACAAGTACTGTACCATTGAGCCACAACCCCAGCCCTGTCATGGAATGTTAAGAGTTCTTTGTCCTAGACACAAGTCTTATGTCAGAAATATGTGTTGAAAATGCTTCCTTCCAGTCTGTGGCTTGTTTCTTCATGATAGTAGGAGTGTCTTTTACTAAATAGAAGTGTTTAATTTTGGTCTCCCATTGATCAGTTCTTACTGATCATGCATTTGGTATCCAACTAAAAAACCTTTGCTTAACATAAGATCACAAATATTTTTTTTCCCTAGAAGATTTATAGTTTATACTTTAAATGTAGGTTTATGAACCATTTTGAGTTGATTTTTATATATGGTATGAGATATGGGTTGAGGTTTCATTTCTTTGTATAAGAAATGAAATAATTTCTAAGAAAATAATGTATCTAATAATTGCAGAACTATTTGTTGAAAAGACTGGCCTTTCTCCACTAAATTGCCTTTGAATCTCTGTAAAACAAATCGACTAATATATACATATGTAAATACATATATGCAGACATATGTATATGTATTTGTATATACATATATATACATAGATACATACAAATACATATACATATAACTGCATATATGTATATACATAAATGTGTACATTTTTACACACATATACTTCCCCTCACCATTGGTCTATTTTGAACTTTCAGTTCTGCACCATCACGTCTTGTTTCAGCCTCTTGCCAGTCATGCTATCTTGATTCATTTAGCTTTCTAGTGAAATTGGGTGATATTAGTCCTCCAACTTTGTTCCCTATTTCAAAATTGTTTTGGTATTATAGTTCCTTTGCTTGCCATATAAAATTTCAAATTGGAAAGGAACTTCGGATCCATATTATAGTAGCATTTTTATTGAATATGTTTGTATCTTAGTGAACTTTGAGGAGGAGTGTGCTAGAGTTTTGATCTCTTTGATTATTATAATTTAAGGAAGAAGAACAAATTAAAACATCTCTCAATAGAGTGCCAACTTCAATATCTGTGTAAAAGATTTGCTAATGGATAGGCAGAAAGCAACGATAATTGCTAATTAGAAAAGGGTCAAAAGTTTAGGGGTTAGACAGATCTAGCCTTGAACCCCAGGTTTATTATTTGTCAACACTGTGTGATAAAAGCTTTAAAATTTACATTTAATGGTCTTTGGTTTTCTCATTAGTAAAGAGAATCAACTTTATAGTGTTTTGAATGAGCTATCAAATAATACAACCTCTATAATACATTCAGCCCATAACTGGTGCATGGTAGATATTCAATAGTTGTTATGATCATCATCATTATTTTAATGAGCATATATAAATTTATATATATGTTCATACATGGACACTGCATAATTTGGTAGACTTCAAATTATCATTATTTTAATATATAATAGTGTGGTTTATATTATTGTAGGATTTTTGGGTATAATAATAATAGATCTGAGAATGTGCCAGTAAAGAAGCAACCAGTTTGCTAAACCATAACATAATCACTGGGTTGAAAGGATTTCCTAATACCACCTATATTAACCCTTGGCTTAAAGTGATCTCATGGCTTTGAGTTCTCATGGGTTAAGAAAAGAGAAAAGCATAGAAGCCTTGCATCATGTACAAACAGAAGAATGAGAAGTTATACTCCATTTATGTATGATATGTCAAAATGCATTCTACTGTCATGTATAACTAATTAGAATAAATTTTAATAAGATTTTAAGAAGAAGCCTTCAAATACAGCAGCCTTCACTATTTAAAATTTAAAATCAAATGGTTTAGTAAGTAAGCATCTCATCCTTGCATCCTAAATAATTTTTATTTCCTATCTAAACCACTTTTTCAAAGTAGTAGAGTCCCTGTATAGGAGCACTTCTCATATGCCGTAGGAAGTAGAGCTGAGGGTCTATAGCTAAAACAAACAAATTCATTTTTAGTGCTCTCAAGTCTGTCTCCATTTTTTGGCCCACTTTAATTACAGTTTCTTAGAGTAACTAAGTGTCATTTGTTTTGTCTTTGGTCTACTGTGTTTTAGTACCTGCCCAAGTAACTGGCCTGCATGTGGCCAACCAAGGGATGACCAGTAGTCTATTTACCAACTGGACTGAGGCCCTGGGAGACATAGAATTCTACCAAGTCTTACTGATCCATGAAAATGTGGTCATCAAAAATGAAAGTGTTCCCAGTGAGACCAACAAATACAGCTTCCACTCTCTGAAATCAGGCAGCCTTTACTCCGTGGTGGTAACAACAGTGAGTGGAGGGATTTCCTCCCGACAAGTGGTGGTGGAAGGAAGAACAGGTAAGATGCAACATGTTTGTATTTGTAGCTTACGAAGATCTGAGTCCATAGTCCCCCATCACAGAATTATTTAAACATCCTAAAGACAGACCCAGTTAAGTGTATCTTAGAAGCTAGGAAGTATCCATATACATGGATAAACATTAGCAAAGTTGTTCAGTAAGGTGTATATAATTTTTTATGTAAGTAGGCTTTGGGGCTTAACTCACAAATAACAGTAAAATTAGAAGGATTCTCGGAAGTCAAATTCCGCCTTTATATGCCATATTCTGGTATATTGACAATTACATAAAAATATTGAGCTGAGGTTAATCAACTAATGATGAAAACAGTAGTGCAGTTCATATATTCTGTGGGATTTTGTTCTGGTATTCACGAATGGCAGTACTATTTACTAACACTTACTTCTGATACATAGCACAAATGTTATTTTATACCATGGTTACTAATTTACCATCTGTCTATTTCTAGTCAGGAAGCTCCTTGAAGGTATCCACACTTTCTATTTTCATATACTTGACAAATAGTAGGTTCTCAGTAAAAGTTTGTGGCGTTTGGTCCCCAAATGACATAAGGAAACGATTATAGTTGACACCTTTCCAGAAAGGTTGTCTCCATCACAGCTGTATGCCCACATTTGGTCCAGTTTCCAGACTTACTGCATCCAGAGTAGGCTTTGAGGCTTATATCTTGCCACTAGAGGGCAGGAAATACTTTGCAAAGGGAGAACACAGTACCACCACCACCACCCCTCCCCAGCCCCGGTTATGTTAGCTGTCAAACTCCCCAGGAATAAATGATTTCTTCACATGAAGATTGAAGGTATCCCAAAACCTACACACTTGAGAAAAGCTGTTCATTCTCCACCTTTTCCCTCAAACATCTGTGCTTTAGTGAAGAGTTTGGTTCAGGTTGATTCATTTGGATTGTTGAAATGTCTGTTCCCTTTCCTATAGGGGATTTCTTACCACATTCACATAAAAATGCCTCCACTGAAAATACTTTACACACAGCAACCCCATAAAAGTGCAGTAGCGGCATCCTTGTATTTATGAGGCATCGGAAAGTTTCCTTGAATTTTTATTTTGGTTAGCCTTCTGACGTAGGAGCACTCAGCTGCTAGAAGCTAAAGTAAAATCCTCACACTTCCTTGACCTCTTCTGTAATCACATTAGCTCTCCTCAGATCATGGTTTCTGCTGACCACAAAGATGACTTGGACTTTTGATCATTTTCCTTTTTAAATTTTCTCCTCTTTTAAAATTACAGTCCCTTCCAGTGTGAGTGGCATGACGGTGAACAATTCAGGTCGTAATGACTACCTCAGTGTTTCCTGGCTGCCAGCGCCTGGAGACGTGGATAACTATGTGGTGACCCTCTCCCACAACAGCAGGGTGGTTCAGTCCCTGGTCATTGCCAAGTCTGTCAGTGAGTGTTCCTTCAGCTCCCTCACCCCAGGCCGCCTCTACAATGTGACCATAACTACAAGGAGTGGCAAGTATGAGAATCATTCCTTCAGCCAAGAGCGGACAGGTAAGGGTGTGTGAAGGTACAGGGCTCCATAAGAACCAATAGGTTATATGGCTCAGGCATCACAGAGCTGTGACAATCCTGTTATGCTAGGATAAAAGGCAATTGAGATCACAAACTCCTTATGGAGAATTTGGATTTTAACCCAAGAAACTCCCTATGTGAGTAGACATGACCTGTAGAGGAAGATAAACACAATTTTTGTTAGAATTCACATTCTATTCAAATCGTTTAACAAGTATTTCTATTTAGGGAGTCTTTTTAGTTGCAATGACCTGGTTTACATATGTTAACTAATCCTTAGAAACTCCTTCTTGAGGCAGTTGTTAGGATTCCCATTTTATAGATCAGGAAACCAAGGTTCAGGGAGAGTTAAGTAACTTGTCCAACTGTTTAACTTATTAAACAGCCACTAAGTTTTAGATCCTGGATTTAAACCTTGTTCTGATTGACTCCAGAACCTACAAAGCTCCCTGTTCTAAAATCCTTTCTAAAGTGTCTGTTGGTCAAGACAACTATTCATCCTTTCTCACAGAAGGTGAAAATGTGAACCTTTATAGTTCTGAGACTAGGGAGCAGAAATCTTAGCAAATGAATGTCAGGTCTTTCATGTGCTAGAAAGAACTAAATATAGACAGCTACCGTTTTCCCAATATATTTAGGCTTTCTGGGGTTTACATCTGAGTTTTTGCTTAAGGTTGACGTCACTATTTTGTCAAATCTTTTCTACTGAGCTCTGGGTTGATTTTCACATTTAAAAATTCTCTTTCTCCATGATGATCTGGGACGATGGGCATCATCCTGTTACCTGGCACAGAGTCCAGGGCCTGGTAGGCACTCAATAAGTATTTGTTGAACTAATAATCAGAAATCACTTATATCGGGGATTTCACCTGGTGGCCCTGGGTGGACTTTAAAAGTGTAGTAACTCATGAAGTTGTTGGGGATAAGAAGGATATGTGCATTTATCTGGGGAGAGAATTCCTGGTTAGTATCAGATTTCATAGTAAAGAACCATGGATTTACCTTGTTACCAGAAAACTGGCATTAAATGTGTCCTTAGAATGATGTAATCCCATCTTCTTATCCAAAGATAAAATCCCAGAGAGAAAGTGTGACTTCTCCAAGGTCACATGGCTGTGACCAGTATCGGAGTTCCGCCATTACATCATGCCATACCTGAAAGCTCTCGTGGGCATATAAAGAGGTTATTCCTACCCTCATATCATTTGAAGTCTAATCATTCTGATAATCACAATGATAGCTTAGATCTGAAAAGCTGATTTCTTCTCACAAAGTAATCGTATGTCACTGTCTCCTATTAATCAACTCAGATCCTAAAAATCACTAGAAATTAAAGAAGATTGTCACCCAACTTCTAACCCCTTGCTACCTATAAACACCAGTTCATTCATGAGCATTCCCTATCCCTTTGACATTAACATTGCAATGCTTTTTGCTAAGAGTGCTTCTAAATGTAAGAAAAGTGATCCTCGATTCAAAGCACTCTCTTGACTCTGAACAGCATGAGCTTGAATTTGGTGCATGACTAATGGAGGCAAATGATTCTAACTGGAAAGTCATGTCAGAGTTGTTGTCTTGTTGATTTTGCCTGGTTATCTTAATTCCCTTTTCCTTTCCTAATGACCTTCTCCTACATTTTGAGTGAAAATACCAATATTTCTAGTTCTGTATCTCCTCATCTCATCGTGCATCAAAGCTCTTCTCACAAATTACCTCTTGTTCCACCTGGAGAGCACCTTATTGACTTAGCATGGTATTCAGCCTAGTTTTTCTTCCTGTAATAATTGCTTCACCTTCAGTAAATTGACTGGATCATTGACCTTTCTTAGCTCACCCATACAGTGTCAATTCAGAATTTCACCTTAACTCTGGTGAGACCAAATTCTAGCAACAGTGTAACTGGCTTGAGGTGAATGTCATAGCATACCTGTCCTTGCTGTATATCTGTGGTGAGCTATGTTCTAATATAAAACTAAACAGTAAATATAATCCAACAAAGGATGTTAATGCAGTTTTTAAGTGTGAAAAGCATCATGAAAAAATATAGCTTAGATACCAAAATACTGAAGTTTCTGGATCATTTGGGAAAAAATAGAATATTTGAACACAGGTTTGGCATGTGGTCAAAGCAGAAATCCTTTAATGTATACCAAGCCACATACAGAGGTTTTACAGGCCTAGAGGACATGATAAAATTGGGACATAAGTTTAGTATGCTGGACCTAAGTTTATGCCTCTTTTCAATGCCCCTTCTCATGAATATTTATAATGTCTGGTTATAGCCAGACAGAAATGAATCTGTGATCTACTAGTAAAGCAAAATTCAACTCCAAATGAAAAAATGAGAATATCCTTAATATCATGCTTTAAATACCGTATTGCCTTATTTACAGTGTTCTTAGTAATATGCATTTATCTATTCATTGATTGAGGGGAAAAACTGTGTTTGCTTATGTATTTATTGTGGAAATTCAGATACACAGAATAGCATTAATTATAATTCTTGACTCAGAAAAATATGCATTAACCGTCATTATTTTTTGTCATTATTGTTTTTTCTTTGTCATGGTTCTAGGAATTGAACCCACAGCCTTGCACATGCTAGGCAAGCACTCTACCCTTGAGCTACCTCCTCAGTCACGTTTATTTTTTTGACATTTAGTTAATAATGTTTTATAATTTAAGATGTACATGAGAAACTACTACAAAAGTTGAAAGCTAGGACTTTGACAATGATCTGTATCAAATCATGTGGCTTCCACCCCATTAATCATTCCAAGGTAACCAGTATCTTAACTCACATTTACGTCTCACTTACTTCCATCTTACATAGTTTTATTGCATTTATGTACAGTTCTAAATTTTAAAATTTTAGTGTCTTTAACATTGTAAAATACAGTATGTATTTTTAAAATTTTAGTGTCTTTAACATTGTAAAATACAGTATGTAATCTTTTAGGGACTTAATTTTTTTCATGTATTATATTTATAAGATTCATTCATATTTTGTGTCTTGATGTTAAAGGCAAGAAAGCTACATCTTTGTGTTTTAAATTAAATAGAAGACATTAATCATGACATGTTTCACTGTGTATACACAATAAATCATTATCCAATCTTATAAGTACCATTTTGTATGGGCAAACAAGAGGATTAGAATATGTTCATCAGGTTATGTTAAAAGATCCATTTAATCACCCCAACGGGTCTTTCCCCTTGAGATTCATGATCAAGAGGTCTAAGATTTTTCTTTTAAATGCATACAGTAAAAATCTAGTCACTTTATTTTATTGTCCCAAATGGATCTGATCAATTGCTAACTCAGAATCACTAAGTCTTTCACTGTTCTCTGTTTCAGTGCCTGACAAGGTCCAAGGAGTCAGTGTTAGCAACTCGGCCAGGAGTGACTACCTAAAGGTGTCCTGGGTGCATGCCACTGGAGACTTTGATCACTATGAAGTCACCATCAAAAACAAAAACAACTTCATTCAAACCAAGAGCATTCCCAAGTCGGAAAATGAGTGTATATTTGTTCAGCTAGTCCCTGGACGGTTGTACAGTGTCACCGTTAGTACAATAAGCGGCCAATATGAAGCCAGTGAACAAGGAAATGGAAGAACAAGTACGTGAAAAATTTGCAAAATCTTTTTTTTTTTATTGGACAGGAAGGTCACTGAGTAAATAATATATCTGAGCCTCGCATTTTCTCCACTTACTGATTAGTAAATTGCATTCCCACTGAGTCTTACTTGAAGCTAACTTCATCCAGCCAAGTCATGGCCTATAATTACAGAATATTTATTGGTAGATAAAAGCAAGCATAGTGGAGGAGTAAGAAGGCCAAATGTTCCATTTTTCTTCCCTGTCCTCCTGCACTATGGCATTAAAATTCTAGACTTCGTCTTTTATCTTATGATTGAGATCATAACTCATTTTATAATTATATTCTACCAACATGTAGCATTTAAGATTTATGTCAAGAAAAAAAATCACAATTTTAATAGTTGCTTCCAATTTTTCTTGTTTAATTATGCATGAAGTAGCTTGAGTGGTTTATTTGGGGAAGAGAGATGTTTGCCAGTTCCTTGAATGTGATTCATAAATTATTGTGTAGGTAAACTCCAATCAGTCCCTTTCCTGAAGTATCTTCTCATTTTCTCCTTAGTCCCAGAGCCCGTTAAGGATCTAACACTGCGGAATAGGAGCACTGAGGACCTGCATGTGACTTGGTCACGAGCTGATGGGGACGTTGACCAGTATGAGATCCAGTTGCTCTTCAATGACATGAAAGTATTTCCTCCTTTTCACCTTGTAAATACTGCAACCGAGTATAGGTTCACCTCCCTAACACCAGGGCGCCAGTATAAAATTCTCGTCTTGACAATAAGTGGGGATGTACAGCAGTCAACCTTCATTGAAGGCCTAACAGGTAACTTAGATACTGTTCTTGAACCTGATTAGATACAGTGGTGTATTTAACATACTGGGTATCCCAGGTATTTCGATGAATTTGGAGTGGTAAAAGGGAGATGGCAAGAGGGAGAAAGTTATCTTGATAGTGACAATGACATTGTCCAAGCTGGATTATTAAAGTTGAAATGAGACATGGAGGAGGCTTTCAAAGAAGTAACATTCAATTGATAATCTAGCCGGTGATGGTGAGATACACAGATTATATTATATATTTTAATAAATAACTCTCTTGCTTGACTGTCACTTCTTTGGAACTCTTTTAGGACTGTTGCTATAATAGTTGATATTTATTGACAGTTGGCCATGAGCTAGACCCATAGCAAAGCACTTTATATCTACATTTTGTTCAATCCTCACAACTCTATGGGTGGTTATTATTATCATCATTACAATTTTTCTTATGAGAAAACTGTAATTTACAAAGATTAATTAATTTTCCTATAGTCACACAGCTAGTAAATGAGTAAACCAAGACTTGGAGTAAGGCAGTCTAACCAGCCCCTTGCTACATTACTAATGTTCTTCATTTCCATTCATTAACCTTGACCTCCCTCTAAACTTTCCCCCATCAGCTTCAAGTCAGGCAGGAAAATTAGAGAAAAAAATGGCAAATTGATACTTTTTTGTCATGTCCTCTTTTTCAGTAGATGCCAAAACATAAAAAGCATGATATTTGTTTTTGTTTGTTTGTTTCCGTACTGGGGATAGAACCCAGATCTTCATGCATGCTAGACAAGGTTCTACCACTGAACTACACCCCCAGCCCTGCCTGAAAACTTTGGTTGACATTTTCCATAGTTCATTCTCTAAGTGATGACTCTTTTTTAAAAAAAAAAAAAACTATTTTTATTTGTATAAAACTGAAAAGAATTTTACTATAAAAAATAATGATAGCATTTTGCAAATTTATCACAAAGGGGTATCTCTATCTGAGGAAATAAGCATGCTATGCTTGGAGAGATGCAATGTTACAATTTGTACACCAAAATGAAAAATGAAATCAAATGAAAAAAATGAAATAGTTACCAAGGAATGTAGGTTAGGGGACCAAAGGGGAAGGGTCACATATTATCCAAAAGAAAATAAAGGACAGCTGCATTGTGATGGCTCATTAATGTTCCAACGGTGCCTGTCTTTTGGTAAACTTGAACATTTCTGCAGACATTCAAGCAGCTTTTTCTGTAAAAAGGTTTTTGCATGACTACTATTGCAGTTCCCATGATCATCTTCTATAGTGGTCACGGTGTTGAGGACACAGTGGGTCCTAGTTCTCCATGATACACTGTGGGAAACGCTGTTGGTCGATCTCCTCGGCGCACTATGTCCCCTTCCTTCCTCTCGGAACCTGGACCCCCAGCACGTGCCTCCCAGCCGCAGCTGCCGCCCTTGATGGCTTTTAAATTTCTTTTCTTTTCTTTTCTTTTTTTAGTTCCTAGTGCTGTCAAAAATATTCATATCTCTCCCAATGGAGCAACAGATAGCCTGACAGTGACCTGGACCCCAGGTGGCGGAGATGTTGATTCCTATGTGGTGTCGACCTTCAGGCAGAATCAGAAGGTTGAGTCTCAGACCATCCCCAAGCACGTCTCTGAGCACACGTTCCACAGACTGGAGGCAGGGGAACAGTACCAGATTGTGATTGCCTCTGTCAGCGGGTCACTGAGGAACCAGATGGACGCACTGGGGCGGACAGGTGAGCGCCCGCCTGGAGGCGGGCCAGACTGTAGAACGCTCATGGTTCTCCATAAAGGGTCGGTGAAGGGGCTTGGCTGTTCACAAGTTGAAACTCCAATTATAAAACCACCTAAGTTTGTATGCTTCACTATGGTTTCAAGAGCCTCTTTCATTTTTTCTTTGCATTTTTCTTTCTTAACAGAGATTTCCAAAACAAATCAAAGGTAATTGGAAGCCAAATCATTTGAATAATTTTTTATACTACTAAATAATGTAAAAATTTTAACAAGGCTTCATAACTGCATTTCTCAAAATTTCAACCTTCTCTCAAAGTTCTTTAAGAAAAAATATGTTCTTCTGCCGTCTTCTTTACCCATGATAGATAAAGAACAAGTATCAGATGAGTGAATAATGGATATCTTTATTTATGTTAATATCCTCATTTTATGTATTATTTTTAAACAAAAATAAGTTCCTGCAATATACTAGACATTTAAAATGATATCTAGTCATACTATAAGGGAGATCATTTCTCTATCCTACAGATGAGGAGAGTAAGGCTCAGAAAGTTTATGAAGCATTACCAAGGATACATGGAATGACACCTAGAGCTACAAATCAAATCTAGCTCTTGCACCATGCTCCCTCTACCACGATGCAACACTTCTTATGCTTCCCATTCTCAGGAGCACTTATTTTGTTCTGGGACCTGCGGTTTTTATGCCGTACCCTCCTCTGCCTCTAGTTCATATCTAGAGCTATACCTGTTACCTTGGTGCAAGCAAGGGATTATGTTAGAAAGTGGAGATTCAGTAGAAAGATAGAGCCACTGACCTCAAGAACCTTATAAGTGAAGAAGACAGAGAGGTAAACAGGCAATTACTGTACAAATTATGGGATGTTATGTGTTATGGGAACCAACAAGAAGAGTCAGTGAAAGCTTCTAATAGGAAGTAATGTTTCAACAAAGATCAAGAGGTCTTCCAGCTCTTCCAGGTGAAGTTTAAGTTGACTTAGTTACAGCAGAAAAAGCAAAGACCTGGGGGTGAGAGAAAGCGTGGCACATTTGAGGACCCATATGCTACTCAGTATGCTAGAAATAAGAATGTGAGCCATGTAGCCAAGTAAATAGATAGATCAAATCATGAGGAGCCTTGTATACCTGATAGGGTGTTTTAAAAAATACAGAGAGCCATTTAAGTGCTGTCAGCATGATAGTGCTGGAAGAATATGCTAGGTGAATCCATGGGAATAACAAAGTAAGAGACAGTGGCAAGAAATGCTGTTGTCCTAAGAGAAGGCGAGAATAAATAAACTCAAGATATATGAGATATAGTACATGGAAATTTTAAGACTTATGTTTGATTCTCTGTACAAAGGTAAGAGTGACAAACTAAGTGTCTCACTTGGGCCAAGAGGTAGAAATATAGGGAAATAAGAAAGTTGGGGAAGGGAGATGAGGAATTCAATTTGAGCATCATCAGTTTGGGAGTCATCAAATTTGAAAGTCATCATTATGTGAGTGACAATTCAAACCATGGGAATGAATTAAATCTTCTAAGGAGATTATTTAGAATGAAAAAAGAAATGAACCTAGAATGGAAAATATTATTAAAAATATTATTTTGCCTTGCACATCAGGAACACAAATACTATCACCTACTACTGCTTAAATCAGGCTGGAAGTTTTGACATGAGTTAATATTGGGAGTATAGTCTAAACATGACAGTTCAGCCATCCAAACTATTCATTGTGTGAAAATTTGTTCAGTAGTCTTTTTGGAAACAGATATGCATCTCTGTGTGTTCTTTTGTGTCACTTTCACTAACTTTTCTACCTGTTGGAGAACCAAAATAGCTATTCAGACAATTCAGGCCAAGAAATGCTCGTTCCTCTTTACTCCCAGAGGACACACAGAAATAATCAATGTGACACAAATAAAGCAGAGGCATTGGTATTCTACCAGGAGACTTCAGAGAGTTTTTCTCAACTGATTACTTTATCCTAAATGATATTACCTGAGTTTTCTTTCTTCTCTTGTTTCTTTGTAGTTCCAGCATCTGTCCAGGGACTAAGTGCAGACAATGCATACAGCAGTCATTCCTTAATAGTAAGTTGGCAAAAAGCTGCTGGTGTGGCAGAAAGATATGATGTCCTGCTTCTAAATGAAAATGGAATTCTTCTGAGTAACACATCAGAGCCAGCTACTGCTAAACAGCACAAATTTGAAGATCTAACACCAGGCAAGAAATACAAGATACAGATTCTAACCGTCAGTGGAGGCCTCTTTAGCAAGGAATCCCAAACTGAAGGCCAAACAGGTAATTAGTATCATTTAATATATTTTACCATTAATCTCCTTGCCTGCTATTGTATAAGACCATAATATAAGAGGGGTGAAGCTTCAGCCTACCGCAATCCAATTTGGATTTTTCTTTTTTTTTTTTTTTTAAACCACATATTTATTTATTTATTTTTTTGGTGGTGCTGAGGATTGAACCCAGGGCCTTGTGCATGCGAGGCAAGCACCCTACCAACTGAGCTATGTCCCCAGCCCATAATTTGGATTTTTCATTAAAGCTGTCTCTATTAGTTTCCTATTGCTGCTATAATAAACTGCCACAAACTTAGTGGCTTAAAACAACACAAATTTATTATTTTATAGTTCTAGAGATTTAGAATCTGAAAACAGGAAAGAAATCAAGATGTCAGGTGTCAGTAGGGCTGTGTACCTTTAGACAGAATCTATGCCTTGCCAGCTTCTAGAGGCTGCCCACTTTCTTGACTCATGGTCCCTTCCATCAAGGGAATCATTCCAACCTCTATATCTGTTGTCACATGTCCTTCTCTGCTATCCTGCCTCTTTCTTCCATCTTTTAAGAATTCTTGTGTCGGGCCTGAAATTAGGAACCATGGAGCAGAGACTTTGGTTCTCCACCATTACCTCCCCCTGCAGCTAACCACCTGTGGGTCTTTGCCACCACCAGGACTGAGAGCTGGTACCACAGTTCCTGCCACTGTGTTTTCCTGCTGCCATCTCCCACTGCCAACTGCCACCTATGGGCCTGAACTACTGTCCAAGAAGTAATAACAGATCTCAAATTATTCCAGAAAATCATAAAGGGAGGGAATTCTTCCAAATCCATTTTACAAGGCCAGTATTACCCTTATCTCAAAACCAGACAGGAACCCAACCAAAAAAAAGGAGTGAGAACTCTAGACCAGTATCTCTAAAATGCAAAAATTCTTGACAAAACACTAGCAGATCAAATCCAACAGCATATCGTTGAGATCATTGATCATAAGAGGAATTTATCTCAGAGATGCAAGGATGGTTCATCATAGATATATCAACCATTATAATACACCACATCAACAAAATGGACAAAAATCTTTAGATAATCTCAACTGATGCAAAAAAAAAGCATTTGATACAAGTCAACATCCCTTTATGATAAAAATTCTGAACAAATTAATTGTAGAAGGGACATATTTCAACATAGTGGCTATAATATAACTAATCCTTACCCAATATCATAGTGAATGGGGGAGAAGCTGAAAGCTTCCTCTAAGATCTGGAACAAAGCAAGGATGTCCACTTTTCCAGTGTTAGTCAACATAGTACTGGAAGTCTTAGAGTAATTGGACAAGAAAAAGAAATAAAAGACAAACAAATAGGAAGGGAGGAAGACAAATTATCCTGTTTGCAGATGATATGTTCTATCTATAGAAAAACCTAAAAACTCTCTCAAAAGACTATTAGATCAGATAAATTTGATAAAGTTACAGAATATAGACTTAACATAAAAAATAGCATTTTTGAGCACCAATAATGAAATTGCTGAGAAAGAAATCATAAAATGGAATCCCATTAACAATTGCTGCAAACAAAATATAGTGACTAGAAATACATATACTCAAGGAAATGAAAGACTTCTACAATGAAAAGAATAAAACTCTGATGAAAAACATTGATGAACACACACACACACACACACACACACACACAAAATGGAGAGACCTCCCCACAGCCAAAATCTAGAGAAAAGAAACAAAGCTGGAAGTATCACACTACCTGACACCAAAATATACAACAAAGCTGTATGGGACTGGCCTAAAAACAGACACAGAAGAGAGAACCTGGAAATATCCCCCATGCATTTGTAGACAATTGATTCTCAACAGAGGCACCAAAATCCTACATTGGAAAAAGGACAGACTCTTTAACAAATGGTGTTCAGAAAACTGGATATTCACATGCAGAAGATTGAAACTTGACCCCTATCTCTCATCTTATACAAAAAAATGAACTTGAAATGAACTGAAGACCTGAATGTAATACTGGAAACTATAATATACCAGTAGATGAGTAAGAACATTTCAAAACAACAGTATAATAAACAATATTTTAAATAAGACCCAAAAGCTCAGGAAACAAAAGCTAACATAATATAGTATATGTATGAAGACATGAATTGGTGTGAATATACTGTGTATACAACCAGAGATATAAAAAAATTGTAAAAGAAAAAGAATTTAGTTTTTATTATTATTAAATGTGAACAATGATTAGGAATTCTAAAAAAAAGAGAAAAAGAAAGAAAGAAAGAAACTAAAATGCTTCTGCAAAGACACAATCACCAGAGTGAAGAGATAACCTAAAGAAAGGAGAAAATATGGGCTGGGGATATAACTCAGGTTGGTACAGTGCTTGCCTTGCATGCACAAAGCCCTGCATTCAATCCCCAGCACCATACAGAAAAAGAAAAAAAAAAAAAGAAAGAAAAGACAAGACAGAAAGGGGAAAATGTTTTTTTGCATGAAATTCATCTGACAAAGGATTAATATTCAGAATATTGAAAGAACTCAATAACAAAAACCCAAATAATAATACAATTTAAAAATAGACACAGGATATGAATTGACACTTCCCAAAAGAAGAAATTCAAATGGCCAATAAATTTAGGGGGGAAAAAGTTTGATTTCATTAGCCATCAAGGAAATGTAAGTCAAACTCACAATGAGATATCATGTCACTCTAGTTAGAGTGGCTATTATCAAAAAGACAAGAAGTAGCTAATGTTAGCAAGGGTATGGAGAAAAGGAAACTCTTACTCTTGGTGCAAATGTAACCAGTACAGCCACTATGAGGAACAATATGAACTTTTAAGGGGTTGGAATAAGGAGAGGGGAAAACAAAAAGAACTGGACAAAGGAGAACTCAAGCAAAATCAAGACAGATGCCCTTTTCTGTTTACATCCACATCTCAAGACTCAGGCCAACCCAGAAGTGAGTACTTTCTAGCAGCTCTGGACCACCTTACCACCAAGTGCCCCTGAAGGCCAAAGGTGTTGCAGAGTCCCAATGTAAACCATTTTTTTAAAAGTGGCTTTGACTTTTCTTGTTGTTTTTCTTTCCCATATCCCTAAGCCTAATTTCTCTTTCCATTTGTTTTTCCTTTCTTTTCCATTTTCTTCTCCCTTCTTCTCAATAACCATATCTTAGCCTTTGTGGAGACTCAAAGACAGTCTTTTGATCTCTAATCTAGTTCTCAGTGTTAGAAAAACATTTAGTCAGCCACATCAGATTATTTTAATTCCCAAAAATGTCTGTGAAGATAATTTCCCATTTCTTTTTTTTTTTCACATTTTCACATATGAATTTTATTCCATTGATAATTTCCCATTTCTGTTTTGTTTTGATTTTGTTGTTGTTGTTGTTCTCTGTGGCTTTGTTGTTGTTTTTTTTTGTTGTTGTTGTTGTTTTTAATTAATAGCTTCAGCATCAGTAATTCAGACTTCGGGTTTCTTTGCTTTAGGCCTCCATGAAGTCAGTTATTTTGTGTGTTTTTTTTGACAGGTAGTAGTATTTATTGGTGGAAATGATGAGGGAGGGGGTATCACATTAGAAGGCCTCACAAATGTAGAGCCCACCACTTGTCCAGGGGAACATGACTGGGATGTGTTGGACCTCATACCCACAGGGAACAAGCTGCTTCTCAGCCACCATGTCTTCAGATTCATCCTCATTAAACTCAGGGAAGCTCCACTTCTTCGAGATGTCGGTCTTGTGGTGGCCAGGAAACTTGAACTTGGTGCACTGCATAGGGGCTCAGTCACATGCTACTTGTTCTGTAGCCTGGTATGGATGGACATGATGACTTGCCCAATGTGAACCCTGAATGCTATGCCCTGGAACTTCCCAAAGGTACTCCACATACCATCTGGGGCCTTGGTTGGGAACAGTTCTGGATCAAAGACATGAATGTCCACTGGAAAGGGCTATCATCAGGGTCCGTAAGGGCAACCTGTATAAACAGCAGACTGTGTACTCTACTGAGGAGGGTGCTATTCACAGCCATTGTAAGTCAACATATTTTAAAGGCAGATACCACCTGGCTTGGGTTGAGTGCACCCACCCATTGTTAATCCTGTGTGGACCATGTCAGGGACATGCCAAAATTTAATCTCATTCTGTCACTTCTTGACTTTTCCAGTCCCAGCAGCTGTCACCAACCTGAGGATCACAGAAAACTCCACTAGACACCTGTCCTTCAGTTGGACCGCCTCAGAGGGGGAGTTCAACTGGTATAACATCTTTCTGTACAACCCAGATCGAACACTTCAGGAGAGAGCCCAAGTGAACCCACAAATCCAGAGCTTCTCTTTCCAGAACTTGCTACAAGGCCGAATGTACAAAATGGTGATCGTGACTCACAGTGGGGAGCTGTCTAATGAGTCTTTCATATTTGGCAGAACAGGTAAGACCCAGAGACCCAAGCAGTAGTAAATAGCAAGAAAGTTCTCCCAATGCTCACTGCCTCTTCCTTGATTTGTCCTTAGTTCCCTATTCTATCCAGGTAATAACTTTGTATAATTCTTTGACCTTCAGACTTTTGACCCTAAATCAGACCTTTGATGATAGATAAATAATTTGTGGACTGTTTTTTTTCCCCCACTGGCTTCTGGTTTATTTATTTATTTATTTATTTATTTATTGCTTCCACTTATTTTCCTCCTAGTGGTTGATGAAAAATGAATATGGCTTCTCTTCTTGCCAGCAAACTGTGCACGAGGGTTGTAATCCAACATGGCTCTATTTAATCCGTGTCCTTCAGCTTCCTACAAAAAACATAATTCAAGCAGAGGGCAGGTCCAGAGAAGGGCAACCACAATTGAACAAGCAATGATTGCTTTGATTGGAAACATAGCATTAAATGAGATAAAAACAGGATTCCAAGACAGAGAGGATCTCTTTGGACTGCAAATAAAAATGGAATCTCCTGTTTTTCTAGATAAGGCTCCTGACCTCTGAGAACTCTGCACAAGGGAGAGAAGAGGGGGCAGGGACAGCAGATTTTGAAGGGGAAGGACATTGGAACACCTTAAATTCTTTGAAAGAAATGAACACTGTTGTGACAGTGACTTGGCAGGACAAGATAATACTTTAAACAGAGAAGGCAGCTTAACTGAGTCCCGAAAATGAAAAGAGCCTCGTAAAGAACATATCCCAAAGGCACCCAAGAGTGGGCCACTAAAGGAAATGAAAAAGAGCAGTGGTGAGCTTAGAGGACAAATAGAATTGCCTGCATGTTACCATTTCCAGGGCAACCTGCCCTCTGCACATTGTCTCTTACCTGCTCATTGATGTTTGAAGCTCCTCCAACAAGGGGCATCATTTTTTACTGACCAAAGAACAACAAAGCTTAAATACGCATGGAGCAAGTGGCAGGTGCCTGACTTATACAATAGTAGAAGTGACAGTTAACATTTCTTAAGTGAGGTTGTACCAATGCAGATTTTGATAACAAAGAGAGCAGAAAACTAAAGGCAGATGGAGAAGAAGTAAAGAGACTCAGAAAAGGGTTATTGGGTGTTTCTTTCCATTTAGATGGCTCAGAATAGAAGGAGCTAGAACCATTAACGAACATTTTTCTGGGCCTTTTATAACCTAAGTGACAAACTACTTGGTTAAGTATTAATAATTCATAAACGTTTCATTTTACCTGTTTGGATTCATGTGGCAACCATATGGAAACCACCACCTGTTTTGTTTTAATTTACACCACATCTACAGCCCACATGCCCCATAGCATAAGTGACCCAAAATGTAACTAAGAACTGACTCTACAATGTGTTCTTACTCACCTACCTGACCAGCGTAGCTCGTATTCTTACCTGTGGGCCAAATACTTTACTTCTCTTTTATTCACAGTAAACTTTTCTTCTATTTAAGTCCCAGCCCCTGTGAGTCATCTCAAAGTATCCAATCGGAACATGACAGATAGTCTTTGGTTCAGCTGGAGTCCAGCTCCTGGGGACCTCGACTTTTATGAACTGATTCTCTACAATCCCAATGGCACAAAAAAGGAAAACTGGAAAGACAAGGACCTGACGGAGAGGCGTTTTCAGGGTCTTGTCCCTGGAAGGAAGTACACACTATGTGTGATAACTCACAGTGGAGATCTCAGCAATAAGGTCACAGGGGAGGGCAGAACAGGTAAGAAGCCCAATCACCAATTGCCAAGTGTTGGTGAGAAGCAGCTTCCTAATACACATTTTAACTATGTCTTTAATGATAAATAAAATCAATGATGCGCCATGTACTAGTTCCTGAAATGCAAAAGGCACTAGGGTACAATGAATAAGAGATACATTCTTTGGTCAAAAATAACTAGATCCTTAGCTTTGCACTGCCACTTAATCTCTATGAAGCCAGATGGGTCACTGAGCATTCAGATTTCATATCTATAAAATGGAGATAATGATAAAAATCATCATTGTGTTGCTATGACCAGTGCTTCCTAAAGTTTTTATGTCTTGAGCACACCTATATTATATCTGTATGCTACCTGGGGTCAATCAACAAAGCGATCTAAAACTGGACATAATTATCTATGAACCTCAGTCATGCAACCCAAAATATAATGGAATCAATATCCTGACACACTTGTAACATATTCAGGGAATATTCATGCTCTATCTGACCTCGGTAAGGAAGCTTGGTTATGAATATTAAAGAAAAGGTACATAAAACATTTGAGGACATTGTCTTATACATAATAAATACTATAAATGAAAGCTCCTACTATGTCATTATCATTATCAGTGATCGTATTTGTATATGTTATGGCACAGATGTGATTATGTGACCTTTCACTTTCTCCTACTTACAGCCCCAAGTCCTCCCAGTCTTTTGTCATTTGCTGATGTTGCAAACACATCTTTGGCCATCACCTGGAAGGGCCCCCCAGACTGGACAGACTACAATGACTTTGAGCTACAATGGCTCCCCAGAGATGCACTCACTGTCTTCAACCCCTACAGCAACAGAAAATCAGAAGGACGCATTGTGTATGGTCTTCGTCCAGGGAGATCCTATCAATTCAGTGTCAAGACTGTCAGTGGAGATTCCTGGAAAACCTACAGCAAACCAATTTCTGGATCTGTGAGAACAAGTATGACATGTTTTTCTTTTCTTGAATTTCGGAGGGAGTGAGAGGAAGGATATATTCAACATCTTATCCCAACGGGGCTTGGTTTGAATATACTTTTTTATTTGAGATTGGTTGGATTTGAATTCAGGTAGAAGTCTCCATGCATTTCTTCATTCATTCAACATTGGAATTTAATATGAAGAATTTATTTGTACCCTCATGGAGCTTGGGTAGGAGATATTATAATTGAACAGATAATTATTCTTTGATTATGATAAGGGAAGTAAATGACACTTTATAAAAATGTGTATTAGGGGCATCTGAGCCAATACAGGAGAGTGTCCTAGAAGAAGAAAATCCAAATTGAAATATAAAGAGAGAACAGGATTTATCAGGTGAAAGTGGGGAAAGAAGTGAAGAATATTGCAGATAGGGACAATAAAATATTGCAAGTCAGGGAGGAGAGGGAAAAGTCTGCTAATAAAAAAGCAGAAAGTAGTTGGTCAGAGAATGAAAGGTGAGCATAAAGAGAATCCGATCATAAAATGTCTTGTATGCTGTGCTAACAACTTTGAACTTTATTCTGAACCAATTGGAGCCACTCAGATCTACAGAAATAGTATAATCATATTTACACTTTAGCAAGTCACTCAGGGTACATTGCAGAGAACAGATTGAAAGGGGAAAACTAGCAGCAAATAAATCAGTTAATACCCAGAAAATGTAATTTCCTAGATCAATTATTGGTTGTTAAAATATGTAGTTGAAAATCAGAAATTTAAGCAAGAGTTTTTTTTCGTTTATTCAATAAATATTAAAACTATGACAGGTATAACTTGTGCTCAATTTTGTATCAAAGAGCAGTTTGGGATCAGATAATTATGTGTGAAAAAGAACTAAGAGTTCTGGTTCATAGCAAGCTTAGAATGCGTTTTCAGGGGCTTATTTTAGATGGTGTCAATTGAATCTGTTAAGCAGAACACCACACACTTGGTTACCAAATCCAGAATAGGACTCAATACTCTTGCCCCTTGCATCTTGGTATTGGAGTCACCAAGTGAAACCCAGTGTAAGCAAGCACTGGGTAGAACAAAGCTTTACTCACATGGAGAAGAGAAGAGACCAGACAAGATCAGATTCAACAGCATGCGTCAGCCCCCCCCACCCCGTCAGTGGGTCTCTCCAGATACTGTTGCTGGGCGAGTGGCAAAACACACCCCTCAGAGGCAGTAGAAGTGTTCTGACCCCCTCCTCAGAGGACAGATATAGATAGTCTTGGTGTTGCCAGGGTACTCTGTGATGCAGAACAAAAAAAACATATTTTGAGCATGCAAATGGGAAAGAAGTTCTCACACAGAGTGATCAGCCCAGTACAAGCCATGGGGCTCTTGATCTCTTGTGAGGGAAATGTTCTAGCACAAGGTTCATTTTTACATAGCCAAGTGGGGCAGCCAATGATTGCACACATAAGACCACCTTTCCCAACAGCTTCCTGGCTGCTCAGTTTAAGAGTTCATGCAATGCCAGTAGAGGTAGGACTTGTATGTCACATCTGGACTATTATATTCCCATCCTATATGCTAGAATTTAAGAGCAGTATTTGCTAAATGGGGCATGCTCCAGAGGAGAACAACCAGCCCAAAGAGGCACTCAACTCTGTGTTTTATGAGTAACATATAAAATCATATATTTATTTATCTAGGATTGTATTAAAATTGGGTAGGGCTGTGGGTAATACAAAACCTAAAATAACAGAGGCTTAAACAAACTAGAAGTTTATGGTTTATAGTTCTTATATAAAACCATTTCATGGGTTGAGGGTGTGACTCAGAGATAGGACATTTGCCTAGCGTGCACAAGGGATTCCATCCCCAGTGCCTCAAAAGAAAAAAAAATCATTCCAGTTCTCACTTTCTCACAAATATGCTCTAGCTATGATGAACAATTTGCAGTTATTATCTTTGCTTATTCTTATCTTTGCTTTTCTATAGGTAACATGTTTTTCTCCTTTGGCTTCTTTCAGGAGGTTATCATTGCTTTTCTGTAGTGTGAAAAATATGCTTACGTGTGTATTTTGGACATTCATCCTATTTGGTGTTCTCTGAGCTTCCAGGATCTCTGGCTTGGTGTCCAATATTAAATTGTGGCAAATTCTTAGTCACTCTTGTTTCTCCTTCTGATATTCCCATGGTGCCTGTTTTATGCCTTTTATATTTGTTCCCTGGTCCTTGAATATTCTGCTCTGTTTTTTTCGGTCTTGTTTTTTTTGTTGTTGTTGTTGTTGTTGTTGTTGTTTTGTCAGTTTTGCAGGTCTCTAATGTAGTTTTGAGGGCAGCAGTTTGTCCTGTGTCCTCAAGTTCAGAGACTCTTTCCTCAGCCATGCCCAGTCTACTAATAATTCCATCAAAGTCACTCTTCATTCTTATTACAGTGTTTTGATCTCTAGCATTTCTTTTCGGTTCTTAGAATGTCCACTTTGTATCACCCGTCTGTTCTATTGTGTTGTCTACCTCATCCATTAGAGCCTTATCACATTCATTCTTGTTTTAAATTCCTGGGCAGATCGTTCCCACATTCCTGTCATATCCTCTTCTGGTTCCAGATGCTTCTTCATTCTTTTCAAACTATGTGTTTTGCCTGTTAATATGCTTTGTAAATTTTTTTTATAACCAAACATAATGTACTAGGTAAGAGGAATAGCTGTGATAGGCCTTTAGTGATGTGGTAAGGTGGGGAGGGAGCTTTGCATGGTGACTACATGAGCACACCTTATTCCTTTAGAGAGCTGGTACCTATGGACTGTGCATCACAGTCTATAGGTACCATCACACAAGGGGATTTTTCTCCCATTTTCATTGTGGGAACCTGGTTAAGTTCCCAGAGCTAAAACTCACAAACGTGTGGGGGCTCCCACATCTGGGTCATCCTGCGGTTTCTAGCTCTCAAACATACCCACACTCAGCCTCCAGCAATTCTTCTGTTATAGCTCTGGTTTTCCTACCTGAACACCAATTCCTGTATTGGTCCTCAGCTCATGAGTGCTTTAGTGAACCCTAACTTCCATATTCACTTCTCTGTCTCTGTAGTTTTGGGGGACAGCAGTTTGCCCTGTGTCCTCACTTCTCTTACAGATCCAAGAAGATTTGCTAATTTTGTGTCTGATCAGCTTTTTATTTGTTGGGATAGGGTGGCAGCTTCCAAGCTCTATTCATGCAGAACCAGAAACCAGAGCAGTGCCCATTTCTTAGTGAAAAGGGATGTGACTTGAGTCTTGGAAGACAGGGAGGATTTAGAGGTCAAGGGGAGAGAGAAGAAATTGAAGGAAAAGGTTGAAGTAGATTCCCATGATATTCTTTCTGCAGATTATCAGAATTATGGATTTGGCAGGATGCCTTAAAAGATTTTCTCCAGTCTGAAGAGAAAGGTGTCATTGGGACTCAGCTGTGACTTATTTTGAAGGGAGTTCAGCAGATCAACAAGCAGTTAGTGTTTTGAAAGACACAATTATTGCCTGCCTCAAGACCCAGTTCTTCCTCTATACCAAAAAAATCTTTGTTAGTTTTTTCTTAAAGTCATCTTCATCTAACTCCTTGTGACTTAGCTGACATTTGTTGACCTTAATATGAAACAAGAATTAATTTGGTGTCACACATGATGGATGAGTCAAAGCTGTGATTGTTTAGCACAAGAATTTCCGTAGCAAAACATGGTCAAGAGAAGGTGTGTTGCATTACAAAGCAGAGTACCACGTATTGCCATTGTAAGGGACTACTCAGTCTACACATAGTTCCTAAAATTCATCTATGTAACTAGTCCTTCATGAGTTGAAAGAATGACCTATTCCACAAGCAACACCAGGGTCACCAGCTATGCATGCACTCAGAAGCCCATGCTTAGAGAGGCCTGTACTTGCCTTAATTCTTTGATGTCAATGGCTTAAAATTCGTAATTTTTGAACATTGGGCAATGCATTTTCATTTGGCACTGAACCTTGAAAATTGTATAGCTAGTCTTCTCTACAAGGTCTTTAAGTGGATATATAAATTTAGTTTGGGGAGGTGGAGGAAGGGAAAAGTAGGGAAAGGATGAAATTTTGTAAGAGGGACCATAAAAACCCAACAATAAAGTGAAATTGTTTTTTCCCATTCAGTTCACAAGAGCCATCATAACTGCCTTTTGCCTTATTTTTCAACTCTCTTCCTACAACATACAGTGTTGCTGTAAGCTTATTTGATAGGTTGCTCTCACTGATTATTGCCATCTGAGAATTTACTGTATTTTGTGCTGTGGCCAATAGAACAATTTACCCTTGAAATTTACTCTTTACCAAGGCTTTCAACTCCTGGAGTGAAACGGAGTGGCATAGACCTAGTTTTCAAGTTCTAGTCCAGAGTCTGAGAGTTCCTGAGAAATTCCTGGAAAAAGAGAATATGCAAGGGGAGGGCTTGACCCCATTCTGGCTTAGCATTTCTGAGCCCTGAAAGCACTTACAACACAGGACCACAGCTCTTCTGATTTTATGTATTGGGGGTCTGAGAACTTTTCTTGTTTCAATGACTCAGTTACTATAATTAAAATTCATAAACTACTCATCTCAACTGTCCAATTTATCTTCATAGCATGTAATTAGAGATGGTAGACATACAGCTAACTGGGGGCGGTCTCAGAGTTTGGTTACTAACTTGAACAGTCTCATAAGAGCTTTTCTTTCAGACTGAATCTTTTACTCATTGTTGTGTCATTCACAATAACAATAGATCAGCTACCATGTATTGAGTTGCTACTATGTGTCAGCTACTGTGTTAAGCAGAAGAACACTGGATGGTGATAAGCACAGGGGGATAGAACAGCATGACATGGACATACATGGGAAGCCACCACACTTTCAGTGCCTGAAACTGTCATGTCAGCAGAGAGGGGCAGGCAAAGAATGGAGGAGAGAGACAGAAGTCAGGGTCTAAGGGATAAAAAATTGATAATGCCATTTCCTAATTTCATCATTATCAGAGCTTACATTTATTAAGTAATTACTATGCCAACCACTGTTCTAGGTGACCAGTCATGTCCACCATTGATAATCATTATAATAACCACACGAGGCAGATATTTTTAATTTCCTCATTTTACAGATGGAACATAGGGAGGTAAAGTAATTTGCTTGAGAGTACAGCGCTGGTAAATAGAATTTGTATTCAGGCTGACCAAGTCGCCCTTTTAACCTCAAAACTCCTCTTCCTCACCTTCTACCTGATTTCTGCCATGTGATTTCCATGTTTCTGTGTACATTTGTGTTCCCAGTCATGTATTATTTGGTTATTTTCTAATGGGACAGCATTTTAATTTTCAATATTTTTTTCAAAGTGAGGTCTGGCAGGCAAAAATTCTCTTGAAGACCCATAGAATTTTTTTTTTCCTTAAAACACCATCCAAATAAATGATGAAAACTATGTATTGATGGTCTGGGGTTGTGGCTCAGCAGTACAGCGCTTGCCTAGCACATGCAAGGCCCTGGGTTTGATCTTCAGCACCACATAAAAATGAATAAACAAAATAAAGGGATTGTGTTCAACTACAACTGAAAAATAAATATTAAAAAGAAAACAAAACCCTATGTGTTGAACTCTCAGAACTAGTTGGGCCTAGAGGAGCTAAAAACCAAAATAATCTTCCCCAGTGCTGAAATGCGTCTCTTTTCCTGTCTCCTTTAGAGCCAGACAAAATACAAAACCTGCACTGCCGGCCCCAGAACTCGACAGCCATTGCCTGTTCTTGGATTCCTCCCGATTCTGACTTCGATGGGTATAGTATTGAATGCCGCAAAATGGACACCCAAGAAATTGAGTTTTCCCGAAAGCTGGAGAAAGAAAAATCTCTGCTCAACATCATGATGCTGGTACCCCATAAGAGGTACCTGGTGTCCATCAAGGTGCAGTCGGCCGGTGTGACCAGTGAGGTGGTTGAAGACAGCACCATCACAATGATAGACCGTAAGTGTCCCTGGAGCTGTGTGTGGAGCCTCCTGTCACACAGGACAAGGGGCTTTGCACCTTACTCCATCGTATCCAGTCCACTATTCAATTGCACACAGTTCCCATATACATAAACTTGTCACTTGGAGAAGAGGACCCAGAAGGCTCCAGAAAATGGAAACATTTTTCTGGGTAAAATACCCTAACAACAAACAAGTGAAATGATCTTAAAAGTACCTGAATGAGTTAGTATCTAAATACATCACTTTGCCTGATATAGTTAGAGCTATAATGGAGCTTTGAAGCAATTTGATGCTTACAACTTCAGGAAATCCTGCTGAGGAGCTGCCTCTTTCATTATATTTAATTTGCCACTGGAAAATCACTTCCTCTGCCTGCTTGCCTTCAGGAAAGGAGAATTTCTTGGCTGCAAGTTTGAAACACACACACACTGTGTCACACGCTGAGTCTGATGTGAGTGAGTGGAGTCCATTTCACTGACTTGGGGAGTTGATGAGAACAGCATTGTGACCCCTCTTGGTTCCTTCCCCACCTCTTTTTCCAGGTCCTCCTCCTCCACCCCCACATGTTCGTGTGAATGAGAAGGATGTGCTAATTAGCAAATCTTCCATCAACTTTACTGTCAACTGCAGCTGGTTCAGTGACACCAACGGAGCTGTGAAATACTTCACAGTGGTGGTGAGAGAGGCTGATGGTAAGTTAATGTGAGTTAACTAATTCTACTGTTAGATGGAGAATTGCTTTCTCAAAGGTCATGTGGGGGCTCCTTCCATCACAAGTTTTTAAGAGTAGAAAAGTTAATTTTGATATCATTCTGCTCTGTCTCTGCTGGATACAGGGAGTTGTAACAAAAAAAAAAAAAAAAAACTGCTCCAAAACTCTTATGGCAATAAAGCCAATTACCTTTGGGCCTAATGATTAAATAGGAAGTTAATAATCATAACCATAACCATCATTAATTGAGCCCTTACTATTTACCGGGCACTATTGGAGGTGCATGGTGTGTATCAACACACTCAGTCCTCTCACAACTTCTCAATCTTGATTGTTACTCTTTTGTTCTACCATTAAATAGCAATGTGCCTCAATTCTTTGCCCTTCTCTGTCTCAAATACCACAACCAACTATATACTCCCAAGTCACCCACCAACTCACAAAAATATCCAAAAGCTTGAAAGAGGCAAAAGGTGTTCATGAGAAGCATTCCTTCTTTACTGAATTTAGAATGGTATGACTCATTCTCTAGTTTCCTGAATTATTCAGTGGCTAGCTAATTCCTAAAGTCAGGATAAATACTAGGTAAAAGTTATCACAACATTCCATATAACCACTGAGTGTGGCCACAGCTTATTATATCAGCATTTGTCAAACTACAGGTAGGAGAGTTATATTTGGGGTATGCATTTGCCATTGAGGTCCAATATGTTATTTCTCCAAAAGAGATGCTTGTGCCTAGAATGATATTAATATATGTTACTTCCATAATATTTTTTCAAAAGTGTTTAAGGTGTTGCACATGAATTTCTTAAGATTGTCAGGGGACAATTTTGACCCATTTGTAGGTAAGGAGAGAACTTTAAACCTAACAAACACTGGAGCAATTTCTAGGCTAAATGGTATTTTGGTCTCACTGGGTCCCTAACAGTCTGGGTGCTTTTACATTTAATTTAATTGTACTAAAGTTGGTTATGCATAATTGATTAAATAATTTCAAGGGTCAGTAGTGCATCCCAAATTTTCTCACACCTCATAATTGAAGATGAATTTGTGAACTGTGGAAAGACTTAAAATTTAATTAGGCTGCAATGAAGATAATGTTTTACTACATGAATATAAGAAGGTGACCAAAAAGAAGTCACACCAACAGCAGCTTTGGGTTCTGCAGCCAGATAGATGGGTTTCCATTACTGGTTTCCATGGAGATGGGTTGTGATCCCTTGTGATCCTTAAAATAATAGTTCATCTCCTGTAAATGTCACGCATAGCATATATGCTCATTCTAAAAGCAACATTCCTTTTCAACTGTTGCCAACAAAATATTTCCTTTATAGGAAAAGAAAATTAGTGACAAAAGAACTAATCAAATGCAAGCAGTCATCTGTCACCTGGGTCTTGGATTTGTTTGTCTGCAGGGAGCTCTGCCAGCTGGAGGGGTGTGAAAGAAGGAATTTGGGAAAGAAGGGAAACCAAAGAACATTTTGAAAGGCAGACTTCAGGATTTAGGAAGGGGGACATGGGAACTTAGGAAAGTGAAAACAGAATTAAAGAAAAACCCATAAAAGTCTCTACTTGGACCTTTGATAAATGGGACTTGGGAATGTGATGTTGGGAGGACCTCAGTTCTTGGGATTAATCTCTCTCAATCCCTTCCTTCTCCTCTACCAATCAATCTGCATCCTCAGACAGAGCATTAGTAGAAAACTGATAACCAAAAATAATAATAATGATAATGATATTTCCAAGATATACTCATTGTGAGCAAATTTTATTAAACAAGAATACAGGATAATGAACCCCACAGTAACACACCTTGAAGTTCATTGTAAATGGTATCTAATCTCTATAATATTTATCTTCCTAATTATGCTTTTCTACCGCCAACATCAAAATTAGTTGACAGTGCCAAAACACACAGCAGGCTGGGTGGACAAGGGAGGAGTTCTGGGAAGTGCTCTGAGTGACGGACCAAGTTTGAGCCAGGACTAAATTGTACCCAAGATAACAGAGAGCCACACAGAGCAATTATCAGACTGGGAATGGCATGTGGAGTGTTCCTTGTGGGACAACTGCTCTGGCCAGGGCCATGATTTCTCTTATCTGTTCTCTATTTCCCAGGTCATAGGGGTTTCCTTATTAGCTCAACTGCAGTGGTTATTGGCAAGGTAGAGAGCTTGTGGAGCCGGTCCACTCTCTCAGTGGGGAATTAATTGTCCAGCTTTCTGGAATTACTGGGTACATTCTCATTTTTTTTACTCACATTTTTTGTTGCTGCATTATAGTTGTACATACTTATGGGATTTTGTAGTTACACATTAGTACATGCACACAATATAATTTGGCTAATATTACTCCCAAGCACTTCCCTTTGGGATTATCATTTGATGTAATGACCTAATCTCATTTTATTTTCCTAGAAAAATGATGATATACATGTGTGTGCATATTATGTATACAAAATTTCTTTTAAAAAAAGTGAATTAAAGTTAATTTCATCAAAAGACTTTCACAGCAATCACAGAATCTGCACTCCGGGATGACCAGAGATAATGGATAAGGAGGCAGCCTTAGCAACCTAGCTAGAAATCACTCAAGCCACAAGAAAAGCAAGTCCTTAACTGTGGGTTTTCTCCTCCAGGCAGCGATGAGATGAAGCCAGAACAACAGCACCCTCTCCCTTCCTACCTGGAATACAGGCACAATGCCTCCATTCGAGTGTATCAAACCAATTATTTTGCCAGCAAATGTGCCGAAAGTCCTGACAGCAACTCCAAGAGTTTTAACATTAAGCTTGGAGCAGAGATGGATAGCCTAGGTGGAAAATGCGATCCTACTCAGCAAAAATTCTGTGATGGACCACTGAAGCCACACACTTCCTACAGGTTAGATGCATTACCATTGTTTTGCTAGAAAGGATATGCTGCATTACAGGATACTCAGCTATCTGAGCATCTGCTGGATGTGAGCTTCTGAGATTAATAGTCTATGTTACAACAATACTCTACATTTTGCTGGGTAATTTATAAAAGTTGGTTTTCTGCCTCCATTCTCAGGTAATGTGTAAAGAGAGCTTTCAGCATTCTGCAAAAGTCACAATTTGTTATGTGAAAAACTGAAGACTTTTAGTAGACTGTTTTTTTCCCTCCTACAAATTCTTTAATATGAGTCAAATAATTTATGACCTTCCCTCTTGTGAAAATGTTCAAATAGACTGAGTTTAAGGAGACTCGAACAATATGAGTTTATATCTTCTGCTCTTAACGAGAACTGGAATTATTTAATTTACCTTCTGAGGCATGTAAAGATGAAGATGTTTTGTGGTTCAGCAGAACTCTTAAGGGAAAGAGTCCCTGAATGAGTTGGGGACACCCTTTTTTCCCTCTGAGATGGCAGGCGAAAAACAGCAGCCATTTGGCCTTGGCTCCTGAAGCACACTGCCACTTGTAGGCCCTTGCAGCCCTAGAAATTGTCTGTGCTCTTGTTCTGCACTGTGTTTCCAGAAAGTAAGTAGAAGCGGAAACATGTAACATCCCAATCAGCGTCCTCAAGGGAAATGGAGCCTAGACTATAGACTTGGATACAAGTCCATAGGCATCCAAAATTATTACTTCTGTAGAGGATGTACCCTTTCTGCTGGGTGTTAACAGAACTGATACCCAGACAATATGGCAGCCAATTAGGTTCTGCTTGGGCCAGTTCCTGTTCTGGTTGGTGAGTGCTAAGGTCTTATTGACTTGTAAATATTTTGAATATCACTCCTAAGTCTCAGTAGAAAGATCTTTTCTGCCATTTCCAAAAGGAGACTCAGACATAACATCACACTTAAGAGTTCTTAGTCCCTCCACATCAACAAATGCAGGAAAATGTGTGTAGTTATCTTTGCCCAGGACTCACCACAAGCTTGCTATTACCTCCCAGGCAAGGTCAGCACCTCCAGAGTAAACATAAACAAACTTATTATTGTTACTTACTTTAAGACATATGAGCCTACTTGAAGGAGAGATCATCTTAGGGCAAAGAAGAAACATAGGTGAGATCAGACCACTGGGATCCTTTAGTTCCTCTAATTAAAATATGCCTCAGGTCCCTGGCTTCTTGGGTTCAAGGAAACCTGAAGTTTCCTTGAACAAGTCTCCCAAGAACACTTCAGAGGTGGAAAATTGAGGCTGTTTTTGTTTGTTTGCTTATGATGGGAAAGGAGAAGATGACTCCTTACATTAGTCTCCCTTTATTCAAGGAGGATATGTTCCAAGACCTTTAGTGGATGCCTGAAACCGCAGTAGTACTGATTGCTTTAATTTAATGCTTTTTGCATTTTGACTAAATAATTATCACGCATGTGGCATAACTTTTGTAATTTGAGTTGTGTCAACAAAACTAGTACAAATGTCTTTTTCCCTCTTCACAATTTCATGGGTCAAAGATTCTTTCTTACCATAGACCTTAGCAACCTCAGCATATGATTTTTTTTTCTTTATTAAGAAATTTCAGGCTGGGGTTGTAGCTCAGTAGTAGAGCGCTTGCCTCGCACACATGAGCCCCTGGGTTTCATCCCCAGCACCACATAAAAATAAATAAATAAAAATAAAGATATTGTGTCCATCTACAACTAAAAAAATATTTTTTAAAAAAGATCTTTCACATTATATACCTAAAGGAAGTACTTTGAAGCTTCTCTTTGGCATATCTAAATTGCCATCTTTATTACTTTTGTACTTTGGGGCTATTATTAAATAAAATAAGGGTTACTTGAACATAAGCATTGCAAGACCTTGACAGTCAATCTGATAACAAGACAGCTATTAAATGATTAACAGGTGGGTAAGCATACACAGCGTGCAAATGCTAAACACAGGGATGATTCACGTCCTGGGCAGTAGTGAACAGAACAACGTGAGATTGTATTACACAACTCAGAGCAGTGTGCAATTTAAAAATTCTGAATTGCTTATTTCTGGAATTTTACATTTAATATTTTGGGATGGCAATTGACTGTGGATAATTGAAACTACAGAGAGTCAAACTGTATAAGGGAGGACAACTATACCACATTTCATAGAGAAAGCCAGTGAGAAGTTGGAGATAATTTGTGTCTTCAGTGGGCCCATCCCCCTGCACCCTGCTTAATTATCCACAGTAGCTGTGGAAGTCTCTGTAAGAGCCCCTACATTTGAGCCCCAGCTCTGCTACCTTGAAGCTGTGTAACCTTGTAAGCAGCATTTCAGCTCTCGAATCCTCACTTTCCTCATTTGTTCTTCTGCATTAAGGTCATACTGTGGTTCCCATTCACTTACAGTAGCTCGTCTCCTACCATTTGCCCCAAGTACACCTGCCCACTTTCTACTCCTCATTCCTCCCAATTCCCTGAACTCTCCTATACCTCTGAACCCATGCATGTTCTTTTCACTCTCTTTGGGATGCTTTCTACTCTTCTTTGGTTTTGACAGTCAGCTCAGCCTTCAACCACCCCATACCATCCCTGTCAACTCCTGGCTGGGCAGCTGAGTGCTTCCTCAGCTCCATTGCCATAGTACCCTGTCCCTGTATCCCTCTAATCCTGCATTTACCTGTGGCTTTTAACCCTTTACAAACAAATCACTCTCCCTCTTCACTAGGCTGTGAGAGTTCACAGTCTAATAGGTGAGAGAGAAGTGTCACTGGTTACAGAACACTGTGTCGAGTACTTGGCACAAAAGAGATACTCTTGAAATGTTTCTGAACAAATAAGGGAATGAGCCAGACAATCTGTGAATGTTAACCATTCTTGTTATAGCTTAATCAACTCATGGTGCACATATTTATCTTCTAGATGTCAACTTTCCTGTATTTCTCCAATGTGTGTTTGGTTCATTCCTGCTAAAGGCATGCCAGGCAGGTACTTCTAGATAAGAGGGGGCATAACCTTCCAAAATATGTGGGAGAACCTCAAACTAAGCAACCTCTTATGTGGTGGCTGTAGATCGTGCCTCAGTGCAGTAAGAATTCTGCCTGTCTCAAGGTGAAAATCACCACAGTGACCCTCCTGCTGTCAGTCATCTCCTCCCTGCCCCTCAACACAAAGCAAATAAGTAAATGGGGGAAAAAACGTGAAAAATAAACATCAGCAATGAAAATAAATGGGAAATGTGAGGTGTAGGTGATAAGCAAGTTTATTATGTCAATGAATATAATATGTTTCCATTCAGTGCTGAATTCCTATTACCGTATGGATTATTATTGGCATGTTCCTTATGGAAAGAGAAAGGGCACATCATTAGGGTGAGAGACAGTTTGGAGGCTATGAAAGTGCTGATCTGGTTTTGTTTTTATTCTAAATAGCATAGCAGTCTGACCACAGTCAGGTCCTCAGCTTCTCCTGACCTCATTTTCCTCAAATGTAGGAAATCAAACCATGTGATGGCTAACTTTCTGCTATAGAATTCTGATTCTGGATACATTAAAGTTTATACCTGTAGATTAAAATAATATCTCATTCATATTATGATATTTTTCATGCTAAAGACTTATTCAGTGAATGTTTTATTACATCTTTCGTGGAAGGTGGTTGACCAGGTGTTAGGGTTATAGAAAGATAAGTAGATGAGGTCCCTGCTTTCAAGGAGTTTATAGTGTAGAAAGGAGACATGTCTATAAAATACGGGCAGAAATGTTGAAGGGCATCAGAAGGATATAGCTAAATAAATGCTGTGAGTGTTCAGAAGACTTCTTTGAGGATGTATCACTTTAGCTGGGCACCAAAAAGGATGAAAGGACTTAGAAATACGGAGATAGGAACAGTTTGGAGAGTCAATGTGGAGAGAACAGTGGGAGTCAAAGCTTGAAGGCAGAATTACACAGATTGCTTAGAGAAGAACAAGGAGTCCAGTTTCCAACAAAGGGTTCATAAAGAAGTAGAAGGAAAGACTGAGAAATAGGATGTGACAGGATTGTGGGTGGGTGCTAAGTGCGGGGCTAGGGAATGTGGTTGTGGCGTCTGTGTTTACAAAGAGTTGTAAGAGCAGAGTTCCTGATGACCACTCATTTTAAGCCAAGCATATGCTAGGCCGCTGTCTCGTTCCTGTGTTCCCAAAGGTCCCTGCATCTGTTTCGTAATTTTTTTTTTATACTGGTGATTCTTAGAATTTTAGAGCAGAACACAAAGTTGATATATCCAAAGCTTTTATTTTATAAATGAAGGGACTGAGATAAACAGAACTTTGGAGACCATTTACTTAATCAGCAACAGAGCAAAAGCTGTTCAGATTCTCTGGTTGTTGGCCCAGCCTCTTCTTGGCATTCCTCCAATAGAAGTCACTGTTTTTAACCAAAAATCACATCAAGAGGAAGTAGGAGAGAAAGGTCCACACTAGGAGGTAGAAATGGAGTTCAGTTTTCTTTCACCAGTTTTCTCTGTGATCTTGGACAAAAAGACATGGATTCAAGTTCCAAACCTCTGAAGTAATATAATAAACTTCCTTGTTATGTTGAAGAAGTTTGGAGATGAATAGAACCGTGTTTGTTAAAATCCTTCCACATTTATAAATGCCTATACCAACATAAGAAACTCTTATCTTCAGAAACACTCTTTTCGATTTCCGAATGTATGATAAATTAGCAACACACTCAAACTCCTCACCTTCTTGTTTAACGCATAGTGATTACTTGTTACCCTTTGCAGACCTCTCCCAATGTACTTCCAGGATCTTTTAGAGCTGGAAACTAGAAATGTGGTTGATCAATGCCATCTCGATGTTTATTTCACATTCGGACCTGGGCTTGAGTTAGGAGGAGGAGCTGAAGGGTCAGAACTATTTGCCCTGCACTGTGCCTGCTTCAGCGTTTCCACAGGGCATGACCAGATAAGTTGGGATTAAACAAGTAGATTTTTTTTCTTAAAGGAGAAAAGAGTCTTCCATTTACTTTCACTGGGTTTAAATGAAGAGTAGTAAGTCTTCCTATGTAGAACAAGCCTAATGTTCTTATCAGTAAATCTTCAAAGGAATCTTCAGTAAATCTTATCATGGGATCTTTTAAGATAGAAGGAACTCAAGTCATCCCAACCAGTCTTTAACTTAATGCAGAGATACCCTCCTACAGCTTCCCTGGGAATTCGTTCTACTCCCACATATGCTTAAATCTGCACCAACAACTGGGAGCTCACTACCTATGAAGTAGCTCATGCTCTAGATGTTAGAAAATGATTTTATGTTCCTGAATTCCTCCCTCCCTATGACTTCAGCCTACTGAGCCTAGTTCTACCTTTAAGAAGAAAATCAATCACTTCCCTTTCCTCTTTCACATGTCAGCTTTCCTTAAATCTGAAGCCAACTCTCATCTTCCTCTAAGTCCTCTCTATCATCATCCTAGCCAATCACCTCTAATGATTTCTGATTCTTCCTAACCTATGTTCCCAGACATTGAGTGTCTCCCTCTAGACTAGGCCTGATTCATGCCAAAAGCATGATACATTGGTCCTATAGTGGGGATCATAGGCTTTACATTCAAACAGAGCTTACAAATCTGTTTTAGTAGATTTATCTTGCTTGTTGAATATTGGACCAGCTGATTGGCAGTTACTATCTCATGTGGATGGATGGACAGCCACCACATCAGTTCTCCTGTCCAAATGACTGGAATAACTCTAAATATCCGCTAGAGAGCTCTAAATCAATGCCTCACCAAGCAAAGCTCATCATCTTTCTCCAATATAGCTCCCAGTTTTATCAGTGGTGCTATTGTTCTCCTGAATGACTTGAGCTCAAGGCTTTTTTTCATCTTTGAGTCTTCCCTTCTTATTTTAGCCTAAGCCTCATCTAGTCCCCCTCAGTGCCCTTCATAATCTTATTTCCATTCTCACTGCCATTGCTCCAGGTCAGGGCCCCATATCCTTGACCTGGATTGTTGCAGCAGTCTCTTAGCTGGGCTTTCTGCTCCAAGTCACCACATCTTATTCAACCCAATAGTTTTCTCCAAGTTCCAGTGCTCCTCGTTGGCAACTTAATATGTGCTTTCCTCTCTTACTATTTGCCCTATTTGTTTATAGTCTGTTTTTCAAGGCTGGTTGGTTGGTTGTTGTGCAGTACTGGGGATTGAATTCAGGGGCTCTCTACCACTGAGCAACAACCCAATCCTTTATTTTTATTTTTTTAATTTTGAGACAGGGTCTTGCTGAGTTGTCGAACCTGGCCTTGAACTTGAGATCTTCCTGCCTCTATCCTCCAAGTTACTAGGATAACAGGCATGTACTCCTAAGCCCAGCTCTATTTTTCAAGTTTTAAAGACTAGAGACTGTGCATCTCTTTGTAACTACAGCAAACAGATATAAAGAAGGCCTTTAATAAACATTTCATGTTAAGAACAATAACGATGAGATGAAAATATTTTTGAATAAAAGGCACTTTAGAAAAACACTAGTGCCAAAAAGATGGGGAAGTATCTAAGTTAAAATAACAATAACAGCAGCAGTAATAAAATTGACATTTGAACCACTTGACATCTCTAGTAGGCATTTTAGAATTCTGCTCCCAAAACTAAACTCATTCTGGATCTTCCCAAACTCCTCAATCTGCAACTCTATAATAGTCTTCCCTCATGTTGGTAAATATGCTCTCCACTCTTCCAGTTGCTCCCCAGTCAGAACATGTGGGATCATCCTTGATTCCACCTTTCTTTCATACTCCACATCTATCAGCAAAACTTTCAGCTCTTTCTTTGACATATCACCACTTCTCACCACCTTCACCTCTAGCACCCTGGTCCAGGCTGCTATTTCCCACCTGGATTATTACAATACCCTTCCAACTAGTTTTCCTTCTTTTCCTTTGCCCAGCTATCCATTCTTCATGTTCCTGCTGAACACCATCCAGTGGCTTCATATGTCACTTAGAACCAAAGCTGAAGTCTTCACCATAGCCTCCTGGGTCTTGCATGGTCTGGTCCATCCACCTCTCTGACCACTCACTCACTGGACTTCAACCATGCTAGTCTTTCACTGCTTCTCAGAAGTCCCAGGCATATTCCAACCTCAGAGCCTTATACCTCCAGTTCCCACTATCTGGAATGTGGGCCTGCCCTCCCCACCACCCACACGCTCTTTCCTCAGATTTCTGTGAAAACGTCTTCTTATAATGAAGACATTCACTAACCATACCAAGTAAATCAGTCTCCATTCTCATTGCTTTACATCTTCCTTAAGCCGCTCTTTTCTTTTTTCAAATCACACATTACCATCTGCCATATTATGTTTGTGGATTTATTGTCTGACCTTCTCTATAAGAATGTAGCCTCTGGAGTGGTAGGGACTTTGTTTTGTTCCTTTGCAGTATCCCTAGCTCCTAGAACAGGAGCTAGCATACAGCAGGAACTCAATAAGTATTTGATGACTACCTCAATGAACGAATGCATAAACCCGGGTTTATCTGATTCCATAATTTATATTCACCCTCCATATGCAATGCCCACCCTGTCTCTCCTTCTACACATTTTTTCAATCAGTTCTGTTAATTTGCACTTAATAAATCTTGAGTAAATCTGATTTCTTTTCAGAATCAGCATTCGGGCTTTTACTCAGCTGTTTGATGAAGACCTGAAAGAATTCACAAAGCCACTCTATTCAGACACATTTTTCTCTTTGCCTATCACCACTGAGTCAGGTAAGGTTAACCTTTCCATCCACCCCTGTGTTCTGCCAGCCACTGTGTCACCTGAAAGAGCCTGTAGGGGGAGATCTGGTGACTTTCCTGATTGGTAGGAGGAACATTATTTTCACATGGAACTTTATCTTTGATGATCACGAGCTGATGTGGATTAGGGAGATTGCACAACTTCTGTGGGAGACCAACCTAGATAAGAAGATGCAGTACAAGATTTTTTTTCTATTAGGGTTAGAAGGAATTGTTTTTTTTTGTTTTTTTTAAAAAAAAAAAAAAAAAAAACAGCAATTGAAAAACATTAAAATAAAGATCTAGCCCAGGCCAAAATGTAAATTGGTATGAAAGGCTTTCTGTTATGATTGGAAGTGTACATATGCACATACAGTCAACCCTCTGAATTCATTGTGTATTGCAAATATTTTGGGAAAAAGTTGTGTCTGTACTCAACATGTACAGAGATTTTCTTATCATTATTCCTTAAACAATATAGTATAGAAACTATTGACAAAGCATTTATATTTTTACATATTCTAGAAATCTGGAGATGACTCAGTGCATAGAGAGGAAGTGCACAGGTTATACACTACATCATTTTGTATAAAGGACTTGACCAACCATGAATTTTGATATCCCGACAGAAATGGCTCAGAATGCATCCCCCTCAAAAACTGAGGAACACCTATACATAGGAAAAAAGACTAGATAAAAAACAACAAAGTATTAATGACAAGTATCTCAAAGTAGTAGTGTTATAGGTGATTTTTCTTCATTTGCTTCTTACGTGTTATTTTTTCACTATTTAAAAATGTTAATTTAAAGAACTAGATGTTAAAAAATGATGTAGCTCAGTGATAGAATGCTACCCTAGCATGCATGAGGCCCTGGATTTAATTCCAAGCACCATGAAAAAAATAATAAAAATGTTAATTTAAAAGGCTCTACATAAATTTATGAAAGAAACATCTTTGGTGTGCCCATGGGAAAGTCTCAGTAATAAAAATGGCTTGTATTTGCTGGGTACCTCCTCTGTGGAGCTGCGGTGTTAAGCATTTCACATAGAATAACTTGTCCAATACTTACTACTACCTTTTGAATTCACTGCTTTTATCATCCCCATTTGAAAGGTGAGGACGTGAGGCTCCAAGAGCTCAGTAACTTGCCCAAGATGGCGCAGCTGTGCTTCCAGCCCTTCCTGCCTGAGCACACAGCCTCTGCACTGCACTGTCTCTGAATATTTCCATCATGCTGAGAATAGCATCTCTTTCATCACCTTGTTCCTTGACACCATTGTCTGTCCCAGCTTTCCCGTGGGTGGCCCGTGTGCTACAGTGCTGTCTCTTCTTGGTCTAGGGAAGTTCTTTAGAGCTGAAAGAGTCTCCCCTGCTGCATGACAAACGTAGCTCACCCCACAAACCTTCCTATCTATCTATGCCAAAGACAGGGATAATCTTCCACTTTTCAGACCAAAGAAGGATCAAAACCCAGCTAAGAGGATTTTGATGTATTCACTTATAATTTGATGTTAAGTCAGGACTCTGTAAACACAATTCTTTCCCATGTGAAATATTTTTAGACAACAGAAATTTTAGGTAATCCAGTAAAGGAATACACTATACATGCGTTCAAAACAGAATATTAAGCATGTTAAAAGAAAGATTATTGTATTGATTTGATGAGTATTGAAAAGCAACATGAGATAATAAATCCAAGGTCTTAAAGTGTAACTCCAAAAACAGGCTACTCTATAGACCTAAATGTGAGAGATAAACATTAACACATTTAAAAGAAAACATAGAAGTAAATTATGTGACCTTGAGTTAAAAAATTATTTCTCAGATATAACAATAATGCAACAAAAGAAAAAATAAATGTATTGGAATTAATCGCAAAGGCTTTCAATGCTTGAAAGAACATCATCAAGTGAGAAGACAACCCACAAAATGGAGAAAATATTTGTAAATAATATACCTGGTAAGGATTGAGAATTCAAAATACACAAAGAACTCTTAACCAACAACTCATTAATAAAGAGACAAATAGCACAACTTAAAAATGGCAAAGGAGCTGAGTAGAAATTTGCACAAAGATGTGCAAATGTCCAATAAGTATTTGAAAAGACACTTAACATCTTTAGTCATTAGGGAAATGCAAATCAAAGCAACAATAAGACACTTCATAATCACTAGAACATCAATAATCAAAAAGACAATAGTGAGAATATGGAGAATTGGAACCCTCAAATGTTGCTTGTGGGAATGATAAATGTATATGTAGGTGTGGGCTGAGGATATATCTCTGTTAGTATAGAGTTCACCTAGCATGTGGGAAACCCTGGACCCACAAAAAAACTAACAACAGCCAAAAAAAAAAAAAACTGATATATCCATATGATGAGAAAATTATTTATCCATTAAAAAGAATGAAATATTCCTGTATGCTATTTGGTTGAATCCTTAACACATTATGCTAAGTGAAAGAAGACAATCACAAAAGGCTACACATTTATGATTCCTGTTTATATTAAATGTCCAGAATAGGCAAATCCATAGACATTGAAAGTAGAGTACTGGTTGCCAGGGCCTGGGAAAGAGGAATGGGAGTGACTGCTAATAGACATGGGGTTTTCTTTGGGGGTTGATAAAAATTATGTTATAAAATTTATTGTGGTGATGTTTTCAAAACTCTTATATGACTACTAAAAGCTATTGAATAGTACAATTTAAATGAGTGAATTATTTAATGTATGAATTATATTTCAATAAAACTGTTAAAAATATAGGGTTAGGAATGTAGCTCAGTGGTAGAGCACTTGTCTAGCATTCACAGGGCCTTTTGTTCAAACGCCAGCATGGTGGGGGGAGTGGTGAGAGCAGGGGCAAGCTGGGTCAAGAGTATATACCTGTAGTCCTAGCTACTCAGAGGCTAAGGCAAGAAAATTGCTTGAACCCAGAAGTTCAAGGCCAGATTGGCAACATCAAGAGACCTGCCTTGAAAGAAAAACAAACAAACAAAAAAAACTACTTTTACTTGTTTACCTATTCATAAACTCCCAGTGGCAGGATCATACAAGATAATGAGACTGTGTTAAAATAACTCCAGAGCAATTCTCTGGATTTGTTAAAGCCCCAGATGCTCTGTAGCATGATTCCTGTAAATGAAATCGTATCTTTATCTGGATGACAAACATTTGACTTTTATCTCAGGTGCTCCAGGCTTCAGATACAAACAGAAAGTCCAAAATTCCTTAATAAACCGTGTATCATTAACTTCAAAAGTTAATGAACTTTTCCCTTAACTTGTCTGCCTGTGACAGGCAGGATAGTAGCCAACATTTCTTCTATTTCACCTTCTCAGGTGCATATTTGAATTGTATTTGTGATATCATTCCCTGGAAACAGCCTCCATAGCTCTCTTCTTTTTTTATTCTAATTTTTTATATATGACAGCAGAATGCATTTCAATTCATGTTACACACATAGAGCACAATTCTTCATGTCTCTGGTTGTATACAAAGCAGAGTCACACCATTTGTATCTTCATATATGTACCTAGGGTAATGATGTGCATCTCATTCCATCATCTTTCCTACCCCCATGCCCCCTCCCTTCCCCTCCATCCCCTTTGCCCAATCTAAAGTTCCTCCATTCCTCCCATGCTCCACCCCCACTCCCCCCACCCCGTCCCCATTATGGATTAGCATCCTCATATAAGAGAAAACATTTGGCATTTGGTTTTTTGGGATTGGGTTATGTAGCTCTTTTATTGGTTCCCCTACACTAATTTTCCCACCTGGCTGTGTTCTTTCCATCTGGATTACTGCAGAGCCCTTGTTTGGAGTCATTGAAGGTGTGAGTGCTGGCCTGTTTTTAATTGGCATGTTGGTGGCTCTCGTGGCCTTCTTCATCTGCAGACGGAAAACAAGGTAAGTCAAAGATCCCTTTGGTGACCGGGCCCACAGTTTCAGAGATGCAACTGAAAATGCGCTTGAGCTTGAACAGTAAGAAGGAGAAATAATTTCCCCAGGTTAAATCTCCATTGTTTTCTCAGTAAAAACAAAAGCCAAAACGTAAAATAATAACTCCCTTTTTCATCCTCCTCTACCGCCATGTACCATTGATGAATTTGACCCTTAGAAGTATTTAAATATGAAATAACTCATTTTGCAAAGAAAGAATAATTTTTTTTTGTTGGTTCATATCCTCATGAAGACAGAGATGTTTGCCAATTGCATGCCCAAGCTCTTTTCTGAAATATCCTGAAAAATCTGGTTGACAACACCATTTCATGGCTCATATCTGCCATCCTAATTTAAGAAGAAGCCAAAAAGAAGAAAATAGCATGTGGCCCCAATGCCACGTCCTCTTCTTCTGGTGATATTTTTTTTAATATGGCACAATGTGCTCTCTTGCAGTTATGTCTGGCATTTAAGGTTTACTGGTTTGGGAATTTTTTAGTTTTTAAGAAAAGATTTATTGAGAGTGTAGGAAGTGATTATGACCCGTAGCCAAAAACCAGGAGGCAGAGATCTTCAGTTATTATAGAGATCCGTTTCTAAGTGAGAAAGATCCACTTTTTAATGTTCTTCCTCCCCTGTTCCTCCCTCAAAGAGATGTTGGCTGAATGCAAAGATACATGAATACTGAAAAATCTACATTTGCTCAAACATGCACAGCCTTACCATAAATGGAAAAAAAATTGTTTAAATCAAGAATGATCAGACTAAAAATCTTTTGCCTTACATTTCAGCCATGGTCGAGAAAGGCCCTCTGCCCGCCTGAGCATTCGTAGGGATCGACCATTATCTGTCCACTTGAATCTGGGCCAGAAAGGGTAAGTGCCATATTTTCTTTTATTTAATTTATTGAAAGATGGCTTTGTGTGAGATTTGCTAACAAGGCCTTTCTTCTTTTGGCTTCTTCACAGTAACCGGAAAACTTCTTGGTAAGAGAGAACACATTAATTACTTTATTATTTGCTTTTAAAATACAATGCAGGCTGGTTATGGTGTTTCCCTTTTTCTTCAGTAATTCTCTTTTTCTTTTTGTTTCTACAGCCCCATAAAAATAAATCAGTTTGAAGGGCATTTCATGAAGCTTCAGGCTGACTCCAACTACCTTCTATCCAAGGAATATGAGGTACTACTCAGGTGCAACGAAGCCTTAACACCCCTGCTTCTTAGCAGAATATCCTTTCTGACCTTTACTGTGGAATCAGAAGCTGGGAGTTACAATGATACTTAGGGTCCCAGCTGAGTGTTTTTGTAATTGAAACCATTCCCTGCACAATAAACCACCTAATCTCAGAGCTCCAGAATAGCACAGCAAACCAAGTGCTACCAGGATCAGATGGTAAGAAAGAATTAACAAATGTCAAATGCAAAACCTAAAACCATCCGTTATCCAGTCTGGCCATTTGCTTGCCTGGAAAACAATGTGGTTTGGCAAAAAATGCCCAGGCTTTGGATTTAATTTCCAGTTTTGCCACTTGCGTGACCCAAAGTACATTAGTTATCCTGTCTAAGCCTCATCTGTAAGATGGTGATAAGAACATTCCCATTTGGAGCTGTTGAAGGGATCAGAGCTAGTGCATGGAGAATACTAGGCATTCTACAAGCAGTAATAAGCATACTAGTGTATGTGTTTTCATATTATTATCAATCTCAAAGTCTGTTATTCTTTTTCACATTTTCCACTTTCAAACTTATTTCTGACCCAATAGGACTTAAAAGACGTGGGTCGAAACCAGTCATGTGACATCGCACTCTTGCCGGAAAATAGAGGGAAAAATCGATACAACAATATATTGCCCTGTAAGTTTTGTGTTGAAATTTGTGACACTGTCTGCCTCTAGCAGATTTTCTGCTCTTTTCCAAGAATAAAACGAGGCTAAAGAAATATGGCAGAACTGGAAATGGAGGATCTCAGGCTCCGGATGACTCTAATAAGGAATGACTTGCATGTTACTGCACTTTTCTCCAGAAGGATAACTACCAGCTTAAATTCTGGTTCTGAGGATACTCTACTGCTGCTGTGATTTCTCTGTGTGGACCTGCTGTTTCTCCTTCGTGGCTGAGAGCAGCAGTGGGGTTAACAGCAGGGCTCTGACATCAAGTTGATCTAGGTTTTCTTAGCAAAATCTCTAGTTCACAGTTTTAAAAAAAATATATCCTTACTGCACTAGCTAAAGGAGCAGGAGGTAATCTTTCTGGATTGTATTTACTCCATCAGTGAAAGGGAACTGGCCACTCCAGTTTAGCAAGTGTCATTAACATTGCAAAGGAAGGTACAGTTGGGGCTACATATTGTCTCCTGTGCCTGATTGTTTATGTGCCACCTGTGCAACATGGGGCAGGTTAGTTATCATATCTGAGCCTCACCTGTAAAATGGAGATAAAAACACCTCCTTATGACTGTTGTGGAGATCAGAGATAAGAGACATCAGATACCATACACTGCAAAAAAAAAAAAAAAAAAAAATGCCACCCCAGCATGTAGCAACAAATCTCTCAACAAACTTTCTTCCAGATGATGCCTCAAGAGTGAAGCTGTCCAATGTAGATGATGACCCGTGCTCTGACTACATCAATGCCAGCTATGTCCCAGTAAGTAGCCCTAACCACGAGATGAAGCTTTAACAGGTAGCTATACTGGAAATACCTCTCCTCTTGTGTGTTCCCACTGCCCTCAGGTCTGGAAACATTTTTTAATTTGTAGAAGACCATGTCTGATTGCCATAAAATGTAGGCAATTCAATCCAATCACTGCTGAGCCTCATTTTTCACAATGGCCATAGTAATATGCAATGACCATCAACCCAGGATACATTTCCAATGGTTGTTTTCTCTGCCACCCTTTGACAAGATCCATGGAAGATGGACCTCCAGTGCTAAGGCTGCCTCACTAGGGAAGTCAGTCTTGTTATTTGAATTTCTGAAAACCACAGACATACCTCAAAGGTTGTGTCAAACTTTTGGACTTTGATCCTGCCAACTTTCTTCAGCACATTGCAGCAGAAGAAATTCTAAGCGTCAAATTTGAATCCCACTTGTATCCCTTGCTGGTTCACCAGGTCTCCATTTCCTTTTCTGAAAACTTAGGGTAATTATATTTCCTTCAAACAATCATTCATTCACTCAATAAGCATCAATTAGTTAAGTACTAACTGTAGGTCAAACACTGAGCCGTGTACAAGGATGAGATCCTGATCCTAAAGGAACTACCAGGACAGGAAAATACAAGGCAGTGCCAGGAGAAACTGGTAGAGCTGTGCTTTTCCACCATCACCATATATCAGCACTGTCCAGGGATCTTGTTAACAGGCAGAATGAGTCAGCAGGACTGAGGTGGCGCCTGGGATTCTGCCTTTCTGACAAGGTCCTGTGTGATCCCATTGCTGGTGGCCAGAGGACCACTCTTTGAATAGTGAGAGGGTAGAGGGTGCCACAGATCATCAAAGAGGAGAATATCACCCAGCTGAGAAAAAGAGAAAGGAAGCTCAGTGGAGCAGACCAACCTGCTAAGGTTACTTAGGGATAGTCAGATGAGAGGCAGTGTTTGGTGGGTGGGGTTCCCAGTGGCAGAGGTGACAGAACATGGAGACCCTGTGGATAGATGAGGAGAGAAAGCAACTTCAACCAAGATTCACAGGTAATTCTGCATTGCTGGGAATGCAGGATGAGTGGGAAGAAAGATCCTAGCTCATAGAATTATGGTTAGTATTAAATAGTGTCTATGGAAGACTTGACCCACAGCACAGTTTGGTGGAACTGCAACAAACAGTGGTTAAGCTTCTCTTGCATAGCTGGGAGCAGTGATGTGAACCTGTCACCTCAGCAACTCAGGAGGCTGAGGCAGAAGGATGGCAAGTTTGAGGCCAGGCTGAGCAACTTAGAGAGACCATGTCTCAAAAAAAAAAAAAAAAAAAGAAGAAGAAGAAGAAGAGAAGAGAAAAGAAAAAGGGCTTGGGATCTAGCTTACTGGAAGAGTGCCCTGGGTTCAGTCACCAGAGAGACAGACAGACAGACAGACAGAAATCTTCCCCTTCGTGACATCAAATTATTGTATTATCAATTATCCCAAATAACAAAAAGTCAGTTCCTCAAACAGTTTACACACACACACACACAATCACATAATTGAGGTGAAGGGTTTTCGAGATCACTGCCTGAGTCCTCCATTTGCCTTTTAGAATAGACCCAGCCTGATTAAGGGAAGTTTAGCTTTTAACAATAGTTCAATGTTCTGGCCTTTGTCCTTCCTGCTTTCAAGCCTTGACACTTGTGTAAGTATCTTTCTCTCGAGTCAGGGTCCTGGCAGAGACCTCCAGATCATCTGATCTGCAGAGCTGACTCTTTGTTTACAGTTCTGAAGAAGCCCATTGTTTCCAGCTTTTCCATATTGTAAATTCATCCACAGGGCAACAACTTCAGAAGAGAATACATCGCTACTCAGGGACCGCTTCCTGGCACCAAGGATGACTTCTGGAAAATGGTGTGGGAACAGAACGTTCACAACATTGTCATGGTGACCCAGTGTGTTGAGAAGGGCCGGGTGAGTGAACAGCCGCCCTGATTTCCCACCTTTGCTTTTCACCATCCAGATGGAATTCACACCTGCCCCCATCCCTACCCCAATCCAAAGCTGTACCCCATGAAACAAAATACAGATGCTTGAGAATGTTGTTAGTTAATTAAGCCACTCAGTTGTGAAAGGCTCTAACGGGAAATCCAGGTGATTCCAGTTCTTGTTCTGGGTTTGAAGTTTCTGTCAAAGCTTTCTCCCCGTGAGGACTGGGATTGTCAGAAGTGGCCATGACACTGTCAGAAAGAGTGCCTAGCCTCATCTGCTCCATCCTTCGGAGCACAGCTAGGGAAGAGAGACTGCAAGAGTCAAGGGGCCTGTCCCTGCTCTCAAGAAAGAAGTAGGCTGTGTCAGCAGAGGCAAAGCAAAAAGTATCTGGACAAATCATGCAAACCTCTTATACAGCACTTAGATTCCTCTACTTTATATGGTTAATTTTAGGATCAAAAGAGAAATCACATATGAAGTACTTAATAAATACACATTGGATTTCCAAATGTCTCTTAGGTCATTCATGCTGCAGTGAGACATGTATGTCCTCAGCAAAACTAGCTTAGTTTAATATAGAGACACATATTAACTATATGGTTAATGGGACAACTAAAATATGTATGTAACCATATAAATATGTTTGTATGTAAAACCTAGAAATTTATTCTATCTTCACACCTGGGATGCCTTATCATAATTACTAAAATAAAAGCCATGTACACAGTACTCAATATACATATCTACATACACAAATACATAGTCCTAACAAATACACATAACTTATAAAACATCCATTTACAAATAAATGTATAAATACTCCCAGACAAAATGCAAAAATAAATATAAATAGTGTCCACAGTCCCCTCTCTCCTTTCTTTGCATATGAAAAGACAAGCTTAGCTAACAATTCTGACTTCTCAAAGATCTCTTGGCATATGGCCCAAGCTAGAAAACTGATAAAAATATGAACAAAACAGAGCCAGGAAGACAATGCCTTCCCCTGCTTGACTGGATCATTCTTCAAAAAGAACAGTAAATAAATTGTAAGTCCTGGTTTATCTGCTAGTGGGACTGGAATGCTGAAGAAATCGATAATAAGAAAAAAAACCTCGAGCCACAAAACACTGTGCTGGAGAGGTAAAGGAATCCAGGTGGGGTGGGGAGCTCCTTGTGCAATGTCTCCCTGTCCCTTGGAGCAGTCGCCCATCTTCAGTACTGACCTTGAGCAGGTTAATTGCTCCAATTGTTTTAGATCCTAACTCAGAAAGGCATTTAGAGGAGGGAAAGTCCAGTTTCTCACGGGAGTTGTTTCCCAACTCACTTTTTTCCTGTCTGTCTTCTTCTAGGTAAAGTGTGATCATTACTGGCCAGCAGATCAGGACTCCCTCTACTACGGGGACCTCATCCTGCAGATGCTCTCAGAGTCCGTGCTGCCTGAGTGGACCATCAGGGAGTTTAAGATATGCAGTGTATGTTAGTTTGCTTCACTTCATTCAATCACTCCACTTGGAAAGATGGAGATCTGTGAATCTTACTTTTGTGGGTTCCTCTTTAGCTATAGTTTCAGCCCATAGATGTTCTCACATGGCACAGTTGTCAAATTTGAGTCTGCAGTGGACCATTCCTCTTATTATCCTGCTCTCTGCTCTTATAGGAGGAGCAGCTTGATGCAAACAGACTCATCCGTCACTTTCACTATACAGTGTGGCCAGACCACGGAGTCCCAGAGACCACCCAGTCCCTGATCCAGTTTGTGAGAACTGTCAGGGACTACATCAATAGGACTCCAGGTGCTGGGCCCACCGTGGTGCACTGCAGGTATGTGGCAACCTAGGAGACAGTCAAATGGCATCCCTAAAAGGACTGGGGCCCAGAGTCTGAAAAAGGGCACAAACATGGGGAATGTGGTGGGTGGAAGGTTTGTCTGAGCCAGCCAACCTATCCAGCCCCGGGAGGATTTCTTACGTCCTTCTTCCTCCTGCTCCCCAACCTCATTCCTCTTCACTGACTTCTCCTTTTCCATTTTCTTCACCTCCCACCTCTCTCCCCCTCACTTTCTATCCTTCTCTCTCCTTCTCTTTCCCTCTTGTTCCTTTCCCTACTGTATGAAATGCAAAACCCTTAAGTGATTTCCATGCCCTTCCCAAGGTCCATCTCACCTTCAGAGTTCTCAAGAACTCCCTTCCCACTCCAGCCAGAAGGCAACTGTACACACTTATCCTTGCCTCCTACCATCCTCAATCCTTGGAGTGGCTTCCTTTCTCTCCTCCACCTGTACTAACCTCACCGATCCTTCAACAGCCCTGATCTGGGCTCCATCCCTTTCTGGTAGCATGTCTTTATTGATGCTGCTGTAACAAACCACCACAGACGTGAGTAACTTATAAACAATAGAAATTTACTTATTGCAGCTCAGGAGGCTGGGAAGTCCAAGATCAAGGTGCTGACAGATTCAGTATTTTTGGAGGGTCCAGTCTGATTCCAAGACAGTACCTCCCTGTTGTGTCTTCCAGGAAGGAAGACAGGATTTGTCCTCACAGGAAGGAACAGAAAGGCAAAAAGACCTAGCTATTGTCCTGCAGCCCTTTTATAAGAGACTAATCTCATCAATAAGGGTGGAGCCCTCAGGGCCTAAGCACCAGCTTAGGAGACACAAACCTTCCAGCCCCAGCATAGCACTTGCTATCTGCAGACCCAGTTTTGCTCTTAAATTTCTGTTCTATCTTCATTTCTCTTTGCTTCATATAGTCTGTCCATAAAATCAACTTAACAAGCGCGCTCTCTCGCACGCTCTCTCTCTCTCTTTCTTTCTCTCTCTCTCTCTCTCCCCGTCTCTCTCTGGGGAGCCTGGTGTTTAGCTAATTAATGTTTGCAACAACACTTTGATAGCCCTAACTGAATGGCACTAATAAATAAAGAGCCGGGGAATTGCTACAGTAAGAGAAATGTCAAGTGCACTAATTTTCTCCCAATCAGCACAACACCCCAGGAGCCATGAGTTTATATATTATTGGAATGCCAACACTTTTAATGGGAATGTGAGGCACTCAAGGACTTCCTGCTTTCCAAAGAATGACAGGCATTTCATCCAGAATCACTGGAGAATTGTTCTTGTTTATCTGATTGTCAACCTACATAATAACCAAAGGGAAATTCTCCAAAGAATAATAATCTTTATCTGGGAACAGCGCAACATTGCCATGGGAAATGTAGCATAGTAAACAATGGGTGTGTTCAAAGAGGTTGAGGCAAGGGAAAGTTTTAAAGCAAGAGAGAGAGATTTATATATGCTACTTGGACACAAAGTTCATTGGTCTTGGAGACCTGAGCAAGCGTTGGTATCAGCATTTGGTGGAAGTGCTGGTGTCCTGTCCAGAGCTTCATATCTGAATTGCTGCGGGCTTAAAGAATATGAAAAACCTTGTTACAAAATCGGTGCATACCTGAAAGGTAGGCAGAGCATCAGGTGCATGTCAACAAAAAGGAAATTCTTGTAGGGACTTAGAAAGTTCTAATGGGCAGGCAGGAATTCTCCCCCTCATAACTTCCCAACTCTAATTTTGTCTGAGTTGATGAGAATAATTTCATCTTGTCATCAGCAACTTGCACAGAATCGAAAATTCCCAGATTAAACAACCACTTTGGGGAGCAATTTGGCAATCCCTGGCAAAGCTGCAAGTGTTGATACCCTATAACCAACCCAGCAGTTATTCTTCTAGCATCGGCCCTTGATTAGTCGCCACCTGTGTGCACAAAGATGTCCATTGCAACGGACTTTTTGATAGAGAAAAACTAAAAATGATCTCTAAACTAAAATTGTCTACCTATAAGGAATGGATCATCAATGGCTTATGAATTCTTATAGAATGATTAAATGAAATTAGATCTACGTATAACAACATGGACAAAACTCAAAACACAATATTGAGTAGAAAAGTTGACAAAGGATACATAAAATGTGTTAGCATTTTAGTAAAATTTTTGAAACATATAAAAGATATTATTTATGGATCTACATATATGTAGGAAAAGTATAAAAACTAACATGGACATGATACACAGCAAATGCAGAATGGTACTTACCCTTGATGGGGTAAGGAAAATGGAGGAGGAGGAAGGGAAAAAAGAGATGGAATACTGAGACTCTAGGTAATGTTTCTCTGAAAAAAAGAAATATTCCTATATTCTCCCATGTCTTGGAAGAGAAAAGAAAGGTTGGGCCAGAGTCTCTGGGTTCAATCTTGAAAAGCCAATTTAATAAAAAGGCTGAATCTTCCTGCACATCTCTTCTAGTGCTGGTGTGGGTAGGACTGGAACCTTTATTGCGTTGGACCGAATCCTTCAGCAGTTAGACTCCAAAGACTCCGTGGACATTTATGGAGCCGTGCATGACCTAAGACTTCACAGGGTTCACATGGTCCAGACTGAGGTAAGAATTACAGGCTGAAGGATACAGTGCACCCTTCTCCTGCCCCCTAAAACGTCCAGGGCTTTCCTCTGACAAAGGGAAATAACTATGACACATGAGGAAGAGAAAGAGAACTGAACATAGACATTTTCCAAGACTTGTTATTTTGTAACAGATCTCAGTGACCTTGAGGATAACGTATGCCCTTATTTTTACTGAGATGGTTGCTCTGCTCAGAAAAGAATTAATTTCAGTGGGTAGGAAGAAAGATGATTATTTTAAAAAACAGTGCATTATACATAGGGGAAAAGGCTAGGCCAACCCATCTTGGAACTCATGTTCAGATAGGCTGGTATGAGCACAAGAACTTCATTAGTGAAGAGGAATAAGATTCCAGTCTCTTCTCTACCCACCCACCTGACCAGCTCTACCTGCACCTGCATCTCTAGAGACACCAAGGGACTCTATGTACCTTGCTAAATGCTTCTATTTGTAAGCATTTTGACATTTGCAGATTACTTTTGAATATGTTATCCCATTAAATTTTCATAATACCAAGTAAAAAAGATATTACATTCCATTTCCAGCCTAGAAAATTGAGGTCCAGATGCTTATGAGCTTTGCACAAAGCCCATAGATATGAGGCTACCACTCTGGCTTGGACCCTGTTCTAGAAAATCCTGGGCCCTTGAGTATCAAGCCACAGCCTCAGGGTTAGCAGTTTGCCCCCCAACCCCCACCCCATATACCAAGCATGTCTTTCTCCGACATGAGCAACTTCCCAGGCTCAAGTTCTCTTACTCTTGGGTTTCCCAAGTTTTTCCTCAAGTATCTCTGCAAAAATTCTCTTTGTAAAAAAGAAAAAAAAAAAAACATATCCATGGATAAAAAGTTCTGTCTACATGCTACTATCTCTCCTCTTAAGTCATAGTAAACATGGAAACCACACAGGCAGCAGCGCTTAAAAAAACGGGGGGATCCTGCAGCAGAGAGTCCCTGTGGGCTTCATTAGCCCACTATTCCCCAAACCACTGTGTCCCCTGAATTCTTTTCTAACACAGCACATTTTAATGTCCAGCAGAACTCTCATTATGTCGTTATTCAGCAAAATACTGACGTCATTGCCTTCTGCAGGCTGCACCCATTTCCCTGATCTCTGACTGTCTAAGCTGGAGAATAATCTATCCACTGTATCTTGAATATTATGATATTGTTCAAAATTACACAGAACTGGGCTGGGGTGTAGATCATCAATAGAATACTTGCTTGGTATGCACAAGGCACTGGATTGGATCTCTGGCACTGAAAAAAATAATGTCCACAAAACTAGAGAAATAGTATAAGGAGGTTTCATGTGCCCAAATCCCAAACTTCTACAATTATCAGAATTCTGTGTTATTTTCTCATCTATATCCTACATACACTGTTCCCCTACTCTGTCCCCTTTAAAATAGTTTAAAGCAAATCCTGCTTATCATATATGACCACCACTGCATTTATTATACCTAATGATTTGGACTATAATTCTAAATTTCATCTCATCAACACTTAAATGTCCATAATTATCTTTTAGAAAAATTATTTCTTGTAAAAAAAATAATACTAGCTGATTTTCATTAAAATCCAAATAAAGTCCACACATTTTATTTGGTTGTAGTTTCTTTAAAATCGTTCTTTAATCTATGATAATCCTCCCTCCTATGTCTTTTCCATGACATTTAGCCATCAGGAAACCAGCTCATTTGTTCCGTAGATTTCCCACATTCTGGATGTGGCTAGTTGCTTCATGGGTATTGTGTTTGTTCCTTGTGATTTTTCACCAGCTGGTTGTTAAATCACCTGCTTTGAGGATGATGTGAGCACTTGCTGTTGCCCCAGGTGACCGGGTAGATCATCTTGCCTGTGTCTCGCTGTGGCACAGTCTAAACTAACAGTGGGTTCCTGGGCCATGGGCTGAGCCATTCATCATCAGGGTCCCCTTAACCTTTTGCTTAATGGCTTTAGCAGCCACTTATGATCACTGTCTAATTCATTAAGAGTTGAAAAATTATATCTTCCTGTGTCAGAATTGTTATCATTCAGTGTTTTTCTCAAGACTACGTGATCCAAGAAGGTAGGAACTTGTTTTCCTTCTCTATATCATCTTTTTTTTTAAATCTATTCAATGAGTGAGCAAATATACCACAATTGGTTTGCTAAAAAGTCAGCCTCAGTATTTCATTATTAGTTTATTGTTGCTTCCACAAACTCTGACCATAATTAACTTGTAATCTGGGGGCAAAGAAGCTATCATGTTTTACATTTTAAGTAATCTGAGAGCGCTGTGTGAGTGTGTGTGTGTGTGTTTTCAGGCTTCCTAGTTACTGTCTTCTTGGGCCACATTCAGGAAATCTATCACAAATGCCACTGGCTGATTTTCAGAGCAGAGGTAGCTGCAATGTGCCAAAGTTCCTCCTCCTACTCCTCAGAAACAATGCCTTCCTTTCCTGGTTCTCTCCTCCTCTCACCTCTCTGATGATTCTGTGGCTTTGCTTCTTAACTGGTCTTCTCACTATTTGGGTTCCTCATAGTTCGGTTCTCAAAGCATGGCTCTGTTTCTCTCAATCTTCATTCTTTGTGATGTCGTTCATTTTGAGGCTTCAAGAACCACACATGTGCTCCTTTCTCCCAAATCTAATGCTCCTTCCCTGGCACTCACTTAAGGACCTGCCTATCAGACAGTTCCACCTGGAGGCCTTATAGCCACCTCAAACTCAAAATGCTAATACCAAACTCATTATCTTTCCTTGAAAATGACAACAGAAACAACAGAGCAGCATTCCTGCTCTTGTACCTTCCAAATGCCATTAATAGTGTTGCCACCCATGTGTCTGCCCAAGCCAGGGAGCAGACTTCTTTTCCTCCAGTTCCCACATCCAGGCGGTCAGGAAGCCCTGTCAGTTCCACCCAAGATCTTTCTCTTTGTTCTAGTCCCTCCCCTACTGCTACCCCTTGCTCAAACCATTGTTAACTCTGGGTGGACCTATTGTGGTAGTCTGTTACCTCCAAATGGGGCTCCTACGTCCAGCTTCTCCCTTAACAGCTCTTCATTACCACTGCCACTATCAAAGTTCCCTGGGGACCTTGTCAACTCCTGTGTAAAAATCCTGAGAAGTTCCCATTGCTTGTAAATTGAACTTAAAATTATTATCCTTATGCACAAACTTCTTTATAACACGGCCCTGGCTTACTTCTCCAGCTTCATGTCTACCCATCTATTCTACATGATGTTAATGTAACAGACATCAATACCAAGTTCTGTTAAAATTAAGGAAGTTTTTCCTCCCTGGGCCAGAATGAACTTTCTTTCTTTCAATGACGATGAAATAAACATTGCAGTAAGATAGGAATTTTCTTTCTCCCTTTTTGCCTGGTCAAACAAAATCCCAACAATATTCAATAATTTCTGTTTTGCTTGAAGCCTCTGCAAAAGTGGAACATTTTCTATAGTCTCTGAATCCCCGGTCCCCAAACTGGGCTGACTTACTTGGAAATGGAAATGGGTGCAGAAGGATTTAATCCACAGTGAGCTCCAGGGAGGTCAACGGTTCCACAAAGGAGAAAGGACATTCTGAGCCCTTGTGTTATTTTTCTGGGTCCATGGTGACAGTTAACCTTGACATTCTTATATACTGGAAATTTGGGATGTAAAGGAATGCAGATTGTCACAATTATTGATGAATATATCGGACAGGATTTCTAAACAAATAGGTATTAGACAGGGGAGTTGTAAATGTGTTCCTCCTTTCAGCCTGCCTTGGGGCAAATTTGCAGCCTGACTCTGAGAGAGATACTCAGATAGAGCAATAACTTGTTAAAGAACATTCATATCAGCTTCTCATGAGAAAGAAACACAGGGCTGTTACAGGATTAAAGCTCCTAGATTCCATTTGGGGACTGTCCTGGAGGTTGCATGACCCATGTAATCTACAGCTCACCCATACCAGAATTTTGTTTCCAGAATATATATGCACTTTCATATTATTTCATCACTTGGAATGCCCTATTTGGTTCAAATTCTTACTAATGTCACCTTTTCTCTCTAGCTTGATACTTTCCTCCCCCAAAAGGAAACTCAAGGGCTTCCTCTTCTATATGAAACTTTTCACACAATTCTGTTTTATGTTTATCATCTTCTAGGTTATTTGTTCACATGGCTGCCCTTCTGCTAAACTATGCACTCAGGGACCATGAAAGGTCAGACATATAATACTATAAATACTATCCAATACTACAAATACTGGTAAAATTGAATGGAACTGAATGTGTTAACGCCAACCCAAGACTTTGCCAATTAACGTGACATAATTTTTCATGATTTGAGGTTCATCTATTAGAATTTTTTTACTTTTCATTAAGAATAAAATGAGAAGCACATTAAAAATCTGACGGTTTCCGTAGTAATCATTTCCAAAGGGACACTCTATTGGGAAAAGAATTTATATTTAAGACAAGGCAAATAAATGGATATTAACTAGTTTCAAAGCCCACAGTGGACCATTGCTGAAGAATTTATTAATAGGCCATGGCATAGATATAATAGAGTTCATTCACAGTTTAGCTCTAAGGTCCCAAAATAATTTACTCTCCCAGTAGAATTAAAAATAGGAATTATGTTTTGCGTAAGAGGACACAATGAGATGTCAGTCTATAATTTTAAAACAGCAAAAAGTCTGTCTTGTTCCAACAACAATTCTCAGAATAGTTCTCTTCCTAAATTTTCAAGGTCAATGTGGCATAAAACACTCATAAAAATGAGTAGGATCTGTGAGTTGAAAGGCAAAGAATAGTTATTAATATTTGTGCAGGCCTCAGTTATGATTGATTTGGTTTTCCAATATGTCACAAGGTATTAATTATTCCAGACCTAAATTATAAAGTCCCATGAGGAGATGCCCAGACTGGCTTCTAATAAGGGACAAAGCCTACCAATCCATAACAACAAGTACTGGTCCGTTTTGAAAAATTGTTAGTGAGAGGAGATTTTGTTTTTAGCCCTATTTTGTATCTCAAATCTTTTAATTACTATTGACTACACTTATTGCTTTAAACATGCGATCCAGAAATATTTTTCAGTATCCATGTAACAGACATCAATACCAGGTCTTTTTTTTGGGGGGGGGGGTGGTACTGGGGCTTATACCCTTTAATGGAAGAAAAAAACAAAACAAAGATGTTATCTGTGGGGAGACTTTGGGCTCCTTGTTTTCTAGATGGAGAAACAGAGGCTGAGAAGCCTCACAGTTCAGCCAGGATCTGATAGAGGCTAAACACCCAGTCTCCTCTGTGTGCTCCCCTCTTATCCTTCTCACTCCCTGGGCTCTGAGCAATTGTCACATCATTAAGGGGAGCCCTAGGCCAAGCACGAAGTCCACACAGACATCCTCTCCCTCATCAGAGAGCTTAGTTGTTAGTAAGGAAGGGGCTCCATGCACAAATTGGCTGCCTGTGGCTAAGACACTGGTGTCCGTGCAAGACTTTAAGGTGTCTTCAGGCTCCAAAGCACCGACTTTTCTATATTTGTTTATGTTTCTAAAGTAGTTAATTCCCACATAACTGACAGGCGGGTCCTTCTCACTATGTAACCCTCTGGGATTCTCTGCAGTCAGCCAGCATCTTTGAGATTCCTGCCTGAAAAACAAGCATGCTGTGAAATTATCTTATCATAAGAAAATCCATGTAGTGAAAACATGAAGTTGGAGGCCCATACCCCTGGGTCAAATCCTAGGGCCCCATTTCTGAGCTGCGTGACCTTAGAGAAGTTAATGAAATTCTCAGTCTCAGTTTATATTGATGATTATATACTTGACAAAGTTGTTGAAATCATGAAATGAGATGACTGTGAAGAGTACATTGCTTATGTTTGGCGTTCATTCATCTATGTAATTCTCATCTATTTAATTCTCAAATTATCAATTGCCTAGACCTCGTTCTAGGTATTCACAGTACATGCTGTATCAATCTGCATCATGTAAAAGAAATGAATAAACACCCCCTGCCCATTACCATTCTTCTCTTTTCAGTGGTTAAAAAAAAAAATTCACTCTTTTATGTACCCAGGTGATGATCAAAAGATTTGCTAACTATACAGAACCCTATCACTGTCAGTGTTTTGTGACAGCCCCTCCTCTTTTTTATGCTTGAGAATAGGCCCTCCTCTGATGTGTTTTCTGCTTTTCCATAGTGTCAATACATATATCTACATCAGTGTGTAAGAGATGTCCTCAGAGCAAGGAAGCTACGGAGTGAACAAGAAAACCCCCTGTTTCCAATCTACGAAAATGTGAATCCAGAGTATCACAGAGGTAGGATCTTGTTCATTAGCTTTTAAATTCATTTTTCACTATTTAGTCAATCTGGAAATTATTAATCACTTAAAGCTCTTCCATTTCTTATTTTACCCAGAAAGTCCCCGAAAAGAATGGCAACAGGGAGAAGAGGCACAGTTAGGAGGGTACTCCCACATTCGAGCAGCGATTCCAGGAAGAGTTTCTATCTCCCTAGCCCAGGATGCACTTTATTAAGGAATCAGCTTAACATTCCTTTTTCTAGCAATGAGCCTCACCCCTAAGAAGGATGCATTGAAATCACAATTGAGAGTTCAAGTTGTAAAATTGTTTGGAGAAGAATTTGGCAATCAAGTAATCAGAATCCTTAATATGTTCTTATTTTGTAACACAGTACTTTTCCTGCCACCCTAAATTCAAAAAAAGCGTTCTGCATAAATCTGTTCACAGTTAAAAGTTTGAGTGGAAAACACTGTTTAACAAAGGACTGCATTAGATAGCTTTGCATTAGCACAATGAAATACCTGAGGCAGCTAACTTTGTAAAGACAAAGGATTTAGTTAGCCCACATTGGAGAGCTTCAAGGATATGGCTCAGTTCTGGGAGGATCTCATGGTAAATGGTGGATGGCAGTCACAGGAGTGCATGACAAGAGCAAGCTGTCACATCTTAAGCTAGGAAGTGAGAGAGCTGGGTGGGGCCATCTTAGGCAACTGTAACAACCTTTTCAAAAGAAGGAGTCCCCTGAGAACTACCTCCCAAGGGCACACTCCCAAAGGTCTGAGGACCCCAAGCTAGGCCCCACATCCCAAAAGTTCTACCACAGTATTTCCTAACACTGCCACCGTGCAGACCACTCCTTCAATCACAGTGGACCCTTGGTGGTGCAAACCATATTGAAACCACAGCAAGGAATAAGTACCCATGGTGTATCACTTCATAGAATAGGACGTTGGCATTAAGAATGAAGGGCTTGACTAGCATGTGTGAGGCACTGGGTTCAACCCTCAGCACTGCATTAAAAAACAAAGCCCATCAACATCAAAAAGAAAAGAACAAAAAGAATGAAGGACTTAGGTTTGGACTGGTGGTGAATGCCTATAACCAGATTCTTGGGAGACTGAGGCAGGAGAATGGCAAGTCTGAGGTCAGCCTCAACAACTTAGTGAGACCTTGTCTCAAAACCAAAATAAAAAGGTCTGGGAATGTAGCTGGGGATATAAAGTGCCCCTGGATTCAATCCCCAGTATTGGAAAAAAAGAAAGTCTTGGGTCATAGCTTAGTGATAGAACACTTGCCTAATATGGGTGAGGCCCTTGGTTTGATCTCCAGCACCGCAAAAGAAAAAGAAAAGTCAAGAATTTTATAGATAGAGATAGAGATATATTTAGATGAAATCTCACTACATTGCCCACTGACCTCCAGCTCTTGGGCTCAAGCAATTCTCTTTCTTCAGCCTCCTAAGTAGCTATGACTATAGGTATATACCACCTCACCTAGCTTAAGAATGTTATTTTTGAATATATTACAGTAATATGGATATTCTTACAAATAAGTTGTCTTAGTCCATTTTGTGTTGCTATAGCAAAATATCTGAGACTGTGTATTTTAAAAAGAAAAGAGGATTGGGCCAGGGAGGTAGTTCAGTGAAGGAGTACATGCTTAGCATGCTCAAGTCTTCTCAGCATAGCACAAAAAAAAAAAGAGAGAGAGAGAGAGAAAGAAAGAAAGAAAAGAAATAAGGGAAAGGAAGAGAAATGATTTTTATTTCACTCCTAATTCTTGAGGCTACAAGTCCAAGATTGGGCAGATTCCATCTGTTCAGCCCCTGGTGGGGCTTCATGGGTGCATCACAGCAGGGCAATGTCATCACCTAGTGACAGGACATGTGATGGTGAAAGACATTATATGATGAGAAAGGGACCAAGAAGCTGGGGAGGAGCAAAGCTTAAAACAGCCTACTCTTGCAGGAACTCAGCCACTCCCGTGAGACCTAACCCACAGAGAGACCAGCATCAATTCCTTCACAGGACAGTGAGGACCTGGTCATTCCTTCTAGACCCCACTAGTCCTTCCACCTTTCAGAATTGTTACCCTGGGGACCCAGCTTTCAAGACTTGAACCTTTTTGATGACAAACCACATCGAAACTATAGCATAAGTTAAATAATAGATGCAGAATGTAATACAAAAACAAAGTGTGAAGGGCAAGACCAGGAGAAAATGCAGTAGTAAAATATATTTCTCTGAACAATAGAAAAATATGTGATTTTTCTCTTCTATTTTTATGTGTATTCTAGAATAAGCATGTAACACTTCCAAATAAAAAATTTAGCAGAAAAAAAATTACAAGTACTTCTTTGATCAAACAATGACTGATTGCTAAGAGAATGGTCTTCATGCCTTGTCCGACTCTAGGCCATCATTAATAATGACCTAAGTTATCACACAGACTGATTGCAAATGTGAGCATGCATTATATTGGTTAGATCTGTTTTTACCTACCAGCAACTTTCACTCCAGGAGGACTGAGAGCTACCTAAAATCAGATAATTTTCCTTTGACAAACATTATTTCAGACCTGTCTTATCTTCATTTCCAAATGACCTTAAGTTGGCAATGCCTCTTAATGTCTTAATGTTTCTTTTATTGAGTCCTCTGTACCTGCTATACCAACCAGTTTGCCTATGTGTTGAATAGTTAATCTGTAAAGCACAAATAGAGACCTACTATTTAGAGGAGTCTTTGTAAATCAGATACTCTTTTGTATTATGAATAATTACCCCCTAATTTATCTGTATAGTAAATTATGGAGAACGCTCTGGGGGATCTTAGAGGTTCCTTTGTCTTGCTTTGATCTTTTGGAGACTATTTTTTTTTTTTTAGAACAGTCTTGGGTATGTCTAAAAGAAACTAACTATGGGATAAGATCACCACCATCTTGAAAGCTAAGATTTAGATCCTAGTTGAGGAAAGACCTAGCATTAATGAGCTGGGTGGCCCTGAGTGAGTTACTCTGTCCCTCTGAGCCGGTAACTTTATCTGTAAAGCCAGAGGGCATGGACTAACATCACTCACCCCTTCCAAATCTGATAATCTATTTCTAAATGGAGTGACCTGGCCATCCTCATCCTAAACCATGTTGAGCTTTAGTCATTTCCACTAGTCTTCCGACTTGTCATTTTCACAAACAAAACGACAGTGACATCCACTGCTGCGGTCTCTAATCACCTTGTCCTCCCTTTCAGATGCAGTCTATTCAAGGCATTAAGAATGTACCCGAAGATCTCCTGGATAAAAATTTTTCACTGTGTGATTTTGTTTTAAAAAAATTTGCTTCTTGCCCTGCAGAGGTGCCAACTATTTCTGTCAATACTATGTATAATTTATTAATCTGGAGAATGTTAAAGAATTTATGTAATTTAAAGGTAACAGATATTATTGTACATAGTTGTATTTTGTAGTTTTTCCTGTAAATATGTATTTTTTTCATAATGTTTAATATTAAGCTTTATATAATACTATTTTTTCACCCAAAAGTGTTCATGGCTTGTTCTACATAAACCAATTCAACCTGTATGGCAGGATTACTGGTAAAATGGGCATGGAAGTGTTTGCAGAGAAAGATCCCTCTGGCTGTGTGTTTCTTACCTGCTGTAATATTCGCTGGACAGGATAAAGAGCAGGGACTAGAGAGAGCATATAGCATGGCTAGCTTTGCTGCACTGCTGTCCCATGAATCTTGAAGTCCACGTATGATTCAGATGTTATTAGGATAAATAAAAGTCAAAACAGGATTAGGATAGCGGGAATAATTCTGTGTAGAGTGCATGCTTAGTATGCATTGATCATAAACATGAAAAAAAGAAAAAATAAAGTACTAGAAGAGGAATTTTTCAGATTCATGCATCAGACTGCACAAAGCTGAGCTTTGTCATTTTGACTAAATGAGTTGCTCTCTGCTCTTGCTCCTGCCACAGATTCAAGCCCAAGTAGCCAGATCAGGGGCCTTGTGACTTTAGTACAAGCTCAGGCTGCAGGGTTGAGAGAATTCCTTGTGTTAAGAAGAATCTCAGCTGGATTCTGACTGGAAACAAAGCACACAAAACTCCATCCGTAGTAACTAGAGATTATTTTGCTGCATTCACAGTGTGGAACATGAACATGCTTACCTGCGCTGTAGTGTTGGCTTATGGACACACACTGGTCCTTGTCTTCTTTCCAGTGGTCTGCTTTCCTGGAGAGGTCATGTTTAGTTTTCCCATGAAAAGATTATGTTGGCAGATTATGCTCTTGGTCAAAGGATCTAATACCAACATTGTCATAAAACTTCTATCAACATCATATATAGCTAATTAAAAAGCAAACAGCAACAAAAACAAAATTGCAGTGGTTTTTAGTGCAAAATTTTCCAAAAGATTTTTATAGTAGGTCAATGAAGTGAAAATTTCAAGTCACCTAAAGTTGCATTTAATATAAAAGGCCATACATACTCTACCAAGTTAATCCTCAGTATGTGTGCCTTATTTTGATTATGACAAATTTCAGTGAGTCAGGAAGTGGGCATTGCCTTTATCAAGGTTCAGTTCTAAGAGCCTTTCTAGGAAAAATCATAAAAGCATTTATATGAAATTCTTATGGCTACCTGATAAAACAAACTGGAGATATTAGCCTTTAATTAGAGGTCATATTTGTGATCTTACCAATTCATTGGCAGAAAAAAATACTTTTTTTGTCAAAGTACCTTGCTACCTAACATAAATTTCCATTAATAGTATAACAAGTCTTATTGTGCCTAAAATATTTATATTTATATAACTCTGTACCCAACTTGGGAATTTTTCTGGGGTGATTTGAAATATCGAAATAGAGGGACACTTCACAAGGATGAATGTGCAGAGTAATAAAAGGATTCAAAGATTTCCAAGCTTCTTTGTGCCCTTGTAAAGTGACAGCATTAGGCTCTGATTCAGGATCAGGGAACTAAATGGCTACTCTAGGAAAGAAATGGAACAACATTTGTGTTAGGTGAGGTAGATGTGCACTGGGAGGGAAACAGAGGTCAGTAACTTAGGAGGTTTGATATCGAAGAAGAATCATTTTATCTACACTATAAAGAAAAGCAAGAGGAAAACAAAACATTTTCAAACTAAAATTATTCTGTGCAATGCACATTGATGCCTGAAGAGAGAAATTCATTTTTGACTTTTCACTCCTTCAGAAAACTTTTAGTAAGGGCCTGCAAACACTACCAGAATCTACATTTCTACCCACATTCATAGAACACATGGTAATAATAAAGTTAGGGCCATTGTCACCATTTTCATTTGAATTTAAAAGAGGACCTGGGCAAGGGACTGAGATTACTGAGCCAGTCTAGGGCAGTGGTCACCTTCCAGGGGCCTCTCTCTGGCAAGTAATGAGGCTGCTTCTGTAGCAACCACTGGATCCAAATGAGAGCAATTGACAGTGTGCAGCCCGGGAGTCACAGCCCTTAACAACCTACACATCTACAACAGCAAATAACACTCACACACCTGGCAACATCTGAGATGGAATCAGAATTACAGAAATGAATACGAGGAGGGGAAGCTGTACTTTTTTTTAGTCTAATCCAGGAAATATTGATTCCTACTCTACACCTAATTTTAAATCTCCTTAGCAACAAATATTACACTATTCCCTTTTGCTCCCAGGAAGACTAAATACGTAATATAGTTGATCTATTCATTAAATTTAAGAGAAGAAAAAAAAAAGACTTCCTTGACATTCAGCTCAATTGGATATATTTCCATTTAATTGCATCATGGGGCTGGTCTCAGCAAACATTCCGTTTCCTGTCTTGGTGGGCATCCTGTCTGTGCACCTGTGGGGTACACTTTAATCATCAAGGTTTCCAAGTGGTTTGGAGCTCTCAAATCTACGGAGAGTCCTGTCTTGCATCTTAATCATTATTTATCCAAGTTCCTTATAATTAACTCCTTTAATCTCTTCTCATTAAATCAATTTTGTATTATCATTAAGTCTTTCTTTGAAAAGCAGCCAGTTTTTCAGCTCTTGAATCAGTTCTTCAGAGATTTGCTTCCCTGTCTGGGCTGGCACATATTTGTCCTAATAACTTCCCAACCCTTAGTCCTCTAAGCCCCATGGCTTGCCCTCTCTCCCTGTCAAATATGTTTGCTCTGCTGGGTTGAATGTGATTTTACCTTCTGTTCTTCTTAATGCTTTGTACCCATTGGTATAATTTTATAGGCTCCACAGTATAAAAGAGATAACCATGCTCTCATTTTCAAATACTGAAATGCGACAAAACAGTTTGGGATTTGTTTTTTGGCGGGGAGGGTCTTTAATTAATTTTGTTATTACCTCTTGGAAGAAAGCCCAAAATGACATGAAAAAAATAATATGAAGCCATTTAGCAGATGTCCAGCAATACAAAAATAAGACTCAACGTGTTACACTTCACACTCTGATTCTCTTGCCTTGGTGCCTAAGAATCCAGTTTCCTAATTAAATACTCTCCTTCCCCTTTGTAACAAAATTATCTGCCATCCACCAAATTCTTGTTCACTTAGCTGTCTGGGAATTCCTTGAGGTTGGAATACTGAAATCCTAAAGCCAACAGATCCGCCTGATAGTGAAGGGTCCCATCCTAGACCCAGCTCTTGGGTACTCTGGGATATCAGTTCACACATGTGGATCAAACCAAACCTGACCTAGCAACATGAATAGATAATAAGCTGCTGGCTTATGGTAACTGATCAGCCAAGGTGGAGTGGCCAGAAGGGAAGAGTGGTCCTCCTCCAAGCGGCAGTGAGCAAGCTCTCAGCCCTTCCTCATTCCTGAAGAGTCAAGAGTAGAAAATGTCATATTTACCTAAATGTCTTGTTCATTTCCAGAGGATCTTTAGTCTGAGATTTAGAATCACATCAGGCATGCAAAGAATGTTTCACATCAAAGAAAACTGCAAAGCATGACTGCAGGCAGCAAATAAAATGACACAAAGATGGGAAAATATTTGAATAAAAGGAATTGAACCAGACCAAGAAGATAAAGCAGCCTTTCTTCTGTGGCCAGCCATACTGTCCCTTAAAAATCTCCATCATGTATTTCCATCAGGACATACAAATTGAATATCCCTAATCCAAAACTCTGAAATCCAAAATGCTCCAAATCCAAGAGTTTTTTTTTTAACTAAAACGACACCACAGTGGAAAATTCCACCCTGGCCTTAGATAACACATGACAGTCAAAACAACAGGTGCACTAAAATCATTGTATAAAATTATTTTCAAGCCAGGGGCAGCAGCAGAGCATATCTGTAATCCTGGCTCCTTGGGAAGCTGAGGTGGGAGAATTGCAAGTTCAAGGCCAGCCTGGGCAACTTATTGAGACCTTGTCTCAAAATATAAAGCAAAATGGGCTTAGGATACAGCTCAGTGGTAGAGTACTTGACTAGCACATCCAAAGCTCTGGGTTTAATTCCCTTTTCCATTGAAAAAAAAATTTTTTAGGGCTGGGTGCCTTGGTGCATGCCTGGATTACAAGTTCAAAGCCAGCCTCAGCAACAGCGAGGCCCTAAGCAGCTCAGTGAGACCCTGTCTCTAAATAAAATATAAAATAGGGCTGAGGATGTGGCTCAGTAGTTGGGTGCTCCTCAGTTCAATGCCCAGTACCAAAATTTTTTTTTTTACTTTCCATATTTAGACTTGGGTCCCATTCCCAAGGTAACCATTATATGTAAATACTCTACCATCCCAAAAAAGTGAAATCCAAAATACTTTTGGTATTTTACATAAGGAATATTCAACCTGCATTAACCTTTTTGGGGATTCATTTTGACTGTGTTGGCCAGATAATTTATCTGATTAAGTAATTGAATTGATTCATTTAGTTTGTGAATTGACCAGATGTTTGACTAAATTTACTGTGTTTGGGATTCTGTAATTTAATCCACCTTAGATTCTTATAGTGCATGATGATTTTGAAAATGTTTGGCCATTTTAGTTAAAATTCAGGGTAACATTTGATGCAGCCATGATAACAACAAAAATCTGTTCTGTTCTAAAAATGTTTCTAGCAATGAAAGTATTTCTGGCTAAAAGAATACTCTTGACTGGTAGGGAGGCTCCCTTGGAATAAATGTATGCATTTAATTTTTTTAAAGATTGCCTATATAGATACATTCATTAAATAAGGAAATTGTTGGTGAATGTTCCTAAAAT